TCTTCAAAGCACCAAAGACCTAACAAGTTTGTGAGAGGTAAAAGAGGATATTAGAGGTCAAAAATACTCAAAAAGATGTGCTATATTATGTCTTGGTATACCAGCCCATCAGTAGAAGGTAGCTAAGAGACAGTCTACTTTTGGCAAGTGCTTGAAGGTATTGAAAAGGTGGAAGTGGTAGAATACAGGATGGTCTGGAGACAGGGAACGGCATCCTGCAGAAGCTAGAAATTAATCTCTCTCATCCTTCTAACACTTCCTACACTATATTCATGGGCATAAAGCTAAAATTTAAAACCTCATCAATTTTTATGAAACATCTGGATTTATTGATTTTTCTCTATTATAGTTTTATTAAGTTTTAGTCTTTTCTTTATTATTTCATTACTCCTGTCCTTTATCCTAACTTGTTAAGAAGGCTTAGCTCATTCATTTTCATTTTTATTTTTCTCTAATATATGTATTTGAATCAACAAATTTTCCTCTAAGAACTATTTCAGTTGTATCTCAGAAATTTTGGTACATAATAATTTTTTACAATAAATTCAAAATATATATATATTTTTTTGAGACAGAGTCTCACTTTGTTGCCCAAGCTAAAGTGAGTGCCATGGCGTCAGCCTAGCTCACAGCAACCTCAATCTCCTGGGCTGAAGCAATCCTACTGCCTCAGCCTCCTGAGTAGTTGGGACTATAGGTATGTGCCACCATGCCCAGCTAATTTTTTCTATATATTTTTAGTTGGCCAATTAATTTCTTTCTATTTATAGTAGAGATGGATATCACTCTTGCTCAGGCTGGTTTTGAACTCCTGACCTTGAGCAATCCGCCCGCCTTGGTCTCCCAGAGTGCTAGGATTACAGGTGTGAGCCACCACGCCCAGCCTCAAAATATTTTCTATTTATCAATATGATATCTTCTTTGACAAATAGATTATTTAGACATATATTTCTTAACTTCCAAACATAAAGAGATTTCCCAGCTGTATTTTTTTTTTTGTATTGGGTTTCTGCACTGAGTGATTTAAATCCTTTGAATATATTGAGACTTTGAGATTTTCAACATAGTACTGGAAGTCCTAGCCAGAGCAATCAGACAAGATAAGGAAATCAAGGGCATGCAAATGGGGACAGAAGAAATCAAACTATTGCTCTTTGCTGACAATATGATCTTATATCTAGAAAACTCCAGAGATTCTGCCAAGAGAGTACTGTAATTGATAAATATGTGGAACAGAAGTGGTGATAGAGGGCAACCTTGTCTGGTTCCAGTTCTAAGAGGGAATGCTTTCAATTTTTCCCTGTTTAGTATGATGTTGGCTGTGGGTTTGTCATATATGTGTTTTTTTTTTTTTATCATTTTGAGGTAAGACCTGTCTTTGATTATTTTGTTAAGCATTCTTATCATAAAAGGGTGCTGAATTTTGTCAAATTCTTTTTCTGCATCTATTGAGAGGATCATATAGTCTTTGTTTTTACTTCTGTTTATGTGGTGACTTTCATTTATTGATTTGCATATGTTGAACCATCCTTGCATCTCTGGGATGAAGCCCACTTGGTCATGATGGATTATTTTTTTTGATGAGCAGCTGTATTCAATTTACTAGGATTTCATTGAGAATTTTTGCATCTATATTCATAAAGTATATTGGTCTATAGTTTTCATATTTGTTGAGTCCTTTCATGGCTCAGGTTACAAAATCAGTGTACACAAATCAGTAGCATTCATATACGCCAACAATAGTCAAACTGAAAACCAAATTAAAGACTCATTAACTTTCACAATAGCAACAAAGAAAATAAAATACCTAGGGATATGTTTAACTAAGGAGGTGAAAGACCTCTACAGGGAGAACTACAAAACACCAAGGAAGGAAATAGCAGGGGACAGAAACAGATGGAAAACCATATCATGCTCATGGATTGGGAGAATCAACATTGTTAAAATGTCCGCACTACCCAAAATGATCTATAGAGTCAATGCAATCCATATTAAAATACCAACATCATTTTTCACAGATTTAGAAAAAATAATTCTATGCTTCATATGGAACCAGAGAAGACCCCATATAGCTAAAACAACCTTAAGCAAAAAGAACAAATTAGGAGACATCAATTTACCAGACTTTAAGCTGTACTACAAGGCTATAGTACCAAAACAGCATGGTATTGGCACAAGAACAGAGACATAGACCAATGAAACAGGACTGAGAACCCAGATATAAAACCATCCTCATAAAGCCATCTGATATTTGACAAAGCAGGCAAAAACATACACTAGGGAAAGGAATCCCTATTCAATAAACAATGCTGGAAAAATTGGATAGCCACATGTAGAAGATTGAAACAGGATCTGTACCTCTCACTTCTTACAAAAGTCAACTCAAGATAGATAAGAGACTTAAACCTAGGGCATGAAAACATAAGGATTTTAAAAGAAAATGTTGCAAAAAGTCTTATAGACATTGGCCTACGCAAAGAATTTATGAAGAAGATCCCAAAAGCAAACACAGCAGCAACGAAAATAAATAAATGGGACCCAAGCACATTAAAAAGCTTCTGCAGAACTAAGGAAACTATCACTAGAGTGAACAGACAACCTACAGAACGGGAGAAAATATTTGCATGATATACCTACAACAAAGGGCTGATAACTAGAATCTGTACAGAACTCAGGAAAATTAAGAAAAAATCAAACAACCCTATTAAAAATGGGCAAAGGACATGAACAGAAACTTTGAAAGACAGACTAATGGACAACAAACATATGAAAAAAATGGTCAACACCTGTAGTCATCAGGGAAATGCAAATAAAAACCACAATGAGATATCACTTAACTCAAAATCAGTGCACACAGATGAGTATCATTTGTGTTACTGATTTGTAACACAATCAGTATTGTGATGGCTTTTATCAAAAAGTCCCAAACAACAAAGGTTGGCATGGATACAGAGAGATAGGAACACTCATACACTACTGGTGGAACTGCAGATTAATACAACCCCTATGGAAAGTAATATGGAGATACCTCAAAGAACTAAAAGTAGAACTACAATTTGATCCAGCAATCCCACTACTGGGTATTTACCCAAAGGAAAAAAAGACAGTCTATAATAAAGAGATCTGCACTCGAATGTTTATAGCAGCACAATTCACAATTGCAAAGATGTGGAAACAACCAAAGGGTCCTTTAATACATGAGTGGATTAATAAAATGTCTTATATGTGTACAATATAGCTACTCAGCCATAAAATGGTGAACTAGTACCTTTTGTATTATCCTGGATGGAGCTAGAGACCATTCTTCTAAGTAAAGTATCAGAATAATGCAAAAACAAGCACCGTATGTGCTCACCATTAAATTGGCACTGACACGTATGATACGTATGACATGTATGATCGACACATGGAAGTAACATTCATCGGGTGTTGAGCAGGTGAGGGGGTGGAGGGTATGGGTAAATTCACACCTAATGGGTGCAGTGTGCACTTTCTGAGGGTTGTGCACACTTGTAGCTCTGACTTGGGCAGTCCAAAGTCAATATATGTAGCCAAAGTGTGTGCACATTGTAACATTCTGAAATTAAAAAGAAAACTGGGTTTGTCTGACTTGAAGGATATTGCTCTTCTTTCAACTGCATCACAGTTATAGTAGCACTTACTCAAAATGGCCTAAAGGAGAATAGTCCTTTAGGTATTCTTGTTCAACACTTCAGCGACAAGAATGTATTGGGAGGTGATATGGAGTTACACAAAATGTTGGTAATATTTACAGTACATACCTGTTGATATCCCACAGTATACTGAACCTTGAAATCACATTGGGAAACAGACACTGAAGGAGTTATAAAAAGTTTGATGAGTATTAAAAAGGATAAGCATAAAAGGCTATGATAAGAAATTTTAAGTTTGTGTTTCAGTGGTATTCAAGATGGCTGCACCAAGGAAGTGATATAAACTGAGTTTTGAAAGGCACATTTTCTATCCTCATGCACTTTTAAAATTACCATTTATTTATTTCAAGGAAATATGAGAGTACAAACATTTTGGTTGCATTTTATATCTTTGCCTCTCCCTAACAGGGGTTAAAGGTATGCCCCTCCCCTCCACAATGCTCACCACATCCCTCAGCTGTGGGTCTACCCCCCTAATTCCCAAATCCCTGGTAAATACAACCACCATTTGAGCACCATAGTGTTAATCATTCAGTACCAATTTGACGGTGAGTACACGTGGAGCCCATTCTTCCGATCTTGTGTCACCTCACTTTGGACAATGGGCTTAAGCTCAATCCAGGATAATATGTGCGGTGCTAGCTCACTGTTGTTTCTTAGAATTGAGTAATATTCCATTGTAAACATATACCAAATTTTAATAATCCACTCATGAATTGACGGGCACTTGGGTTGTTTCCATGTCCTTGCAATAGTGAATTGTGCTGCCATAAACATTCAGGTGCAGATGTCTTTATGATAGAATCTCTTATTTCTCATGCACTTTAATGAAGTAAGAATCTCTCCCCAACATTTTCTTAGAGTAACTCAAACTCTAAGGGTGTGGGGGCCACCACCATCCTTTCCCATCAAGGCCTCTTGAGATTTTGACTTCCTGAATCTAAACCAGTCCCCCACTCTGGCTTTCTACCCTCTTTCTCTCACTATTTTCTTTTTTCCACTATTGATCTTCTCTCTTTGGTACTTGAGAATCTTGTAGAGTACTAACTAGGATATTTAGTTTCTCAGGAATATTTGTATTTTAGCAGGGCACATTTGAGTAGTGAGAAACTTTTAAGTTATAAAGGAATGAATTTATAATAGTGGAATTTCAGTGAACAACATAAAAAATAATAAGGTAGGGGGTTCAGATGTGGGTAAAATGAAACAAAAATAAAGTGGAGAGGGGGCTCAAAAGAGTTAATGCAATATATTCTTCCATGCCATTTTTAATGACTTATGGTTCTAATCTACCAAAATATTTTTGATCTACCATTATTGTTGTAGTAATACTAAACAGCTATATGACTTAGAAAGGGAAAAGGACTTCTCCCTACTACGTAGTATAATACGGACTTGGAAACAGATAAAATTTCTTCGACAACGACAAGGGTTTACAAGCACCCCAATAAAGTTACAGGTCCAGAGGTAAGAGGCTGCTCTATTTGCTCTTATTGGTCTCTTGGAAACTGCCAGTGAAAAACTGGGAATTTATAGTAACTGGGAAAAAATCCAGAAGCTAGACAACTATTTCAACAGGGACATGTATCTTGACTATATAAACAATTTGTACAACTGAAGAAGAAGACAACCCAATTTAAAAATGGGTAAAGGATTTGAACAGATAATTCACCAAAGAATGTACACAAATGGCAAATGAACACATGAAAGGATGTGCAGCATCATGTCCTGTCAGTAATTAATGCAAATTAAAACCACAATGAAATACTACCACACATATTAGAATGGCTAAAATCCCAAATAAATCAAAAATAAGAAAAGACACTAACAAATTCTGGAAAGGACACTGAGCAACAGAAACTTTGACTCATTGCTGTTGGGAATACAAAATGGTACAGCCACTTTGGAAACAGTTTGGCACTTTCTTATAAAGTTAAATATAGACCCAGCAACCTTACTCCCAGGTGAAACATGTTTTAGATAATTGGATAAAATCATAAAACATATCTAGTGGAGGAGATAATTGCAATTCAAAACTAAACACATAAGCTATTTGTGAACTCATAGTGAAATAACTATTTTCGTTACCACAACCCATTGTCCTGGGTTTTTTGTTTTTTAAAAGTATAAAAGTTTAATGTAATTTCAGGCAATTAAGAAAATATTTATTTTGTTGATTTTTTTTTCATGCTGCAGTGTTGTGTTTTTTTTTTTTTTAACAAAAGTGCTTCTGACAATTTGTAAACCTAAACCTAGCATGGAACTTTATCTTAGACTGCTGAATTAAAATAACTCTAATGACTTGCCTTTGATCCTTTAAACCAACCTGACACAGCCATGCATCATGAAGTCATGAGAAAAAAAGGAAAATTACTGAGAACACTGGCTCCAGACCCATATTTCCTGCTCACCAACAACTCTTGTTGTTGCCGCTACTCTGAACTCCAGTCCCACCTGAGGCCCTATGAGTTTGTTCTTCCTGACATTAACAGTCAGCTTTTCTAGTGGACTTTGGAAATATTCACCTCTCCAGACTGTGTCTAGCTGGAGACCTCTGAACTAAATCCCACTCTGTCAGTGACCAGGTTGGCCTTAGCAGGACTAGCCCGAGCGATCCTAAATTGGGGCATTAGGATCATTAACGTATCATTAACATATCATTCTAGAATGATATGTTAATGTTCTTCATCTAGAAGAACTTATATGCTGGAAGGTGTTTCTGGAAACTCTGTTTTCTGGCCAAGGTTACCACTATTGACTTCACAACAAACTTGGTCCTTGTGAGTCCTAACTGAATAAACTGTAGGAAAAGACAATATTTATGACAATAAGATCTGAGACCTAGACACTTCCCTTGAGTTAGCTTTTCTCCATGTGTTTAGTTTGGGACATGTTGAATTTGATATGCTTTTGAGATATCACCAAATAAAGAAATTGAGTGGGCAGTTGGATGTATGGTTTGTGCTAGAAATAAAAATATGAAAGTCTGTTGCTGAGTAATCACAAGTGAAGCCAGGGATGTACATGAAACTGCTTAGGGAGAGAGTAGGGAACAATATGAGAGGAGAGCTAAGGACTGTGTCTTGAGAAATTGCTTTGAATGACTAGGTAGCGGAGGAGAAGAAACCAGAGAAGGGAGAGAGAAGCACCAGTTATAGTGTTTTGTCACAGAGGCAAAGAAAAAGAAGTTATTTTAAGTAGGAGGAAGTGGTTAACAGTGTTTAATGCCTCTGAAATATCAGTTAAGTTCAGGACTAAAAATGTTCATTGGATTTCCTGACATAGAGGTTATTGATAATTTTAACTAGAGCAAGTTTTGTAAAGTGATAGTGGCAGAAATGAGGTAGCAGGAAATTGAGGCTATAGCTATCTCTTCTCATTCAGGCAGTAAATTCTCCTTGTCAAATGTTAGCAACACTGCATTAAGTTTAGAGAAGCTGGCTGGGCAAGTAGCTGTAGACTTTGTTGTCTTCTGGCCATGGAATCCAAACCACAGCACTGGTAAATAACACAGAGAACCCAGATTCCTGTATATTGTCTTCACCTGTGCTCTCCATTAGGCATTTCCTATCTGGAGAAGACTCAGATAACCGTCAAAGAGGCTTTTAAAATGAGAAAGTGCAAGCTATACCAGCAGGAAAGCCCAGAACATTTGGTAGAATAACTTGAGGCCTGTCATCACTTCCCAGAGACACTTGGCCCAGAATAGAAAGGAGGAAGCTATGGATCTAAGATCACTGCATAAATAACTTCCCCCAAAGGACATTCTTGGTATAATACCCATTCTCTAAGTTACTAATAACAGCTATTCTCTAAATTATTGTACATTGGAATCACCTGGGGGAATTTTAAAAATCACTGTTCTGATTTAATTGGTATGGGGTATAGTCTGAATATCAGGAGTGTTAAAAAGCTCCCCAGATGATTTTAATATGTAACAAAGTTTGAGAACCATTTTATTAAAGAATAGCAAGTTAATTAATGTCATAGTGATTACTCTAAATCAGAGAAAAACAATAATATTTATTTACTGTTACTTTTACCCCAAGCCCTGGGCTGAGCACTTTACATGAATTAGTGCATTTAATCTTCACAACAAGCCAATTTTCAGATAAGAAAAGTAAGGCATAGACTATACAGGTAATATCCATATTAGGCTACCTATATTCTATTTCAGAAGGCAAAAGCTACCTATTAATAATAGTGATATCCAAAACTGCAGTCCCCAACCCCAGGCTACTGACTGGTACCAGCCTGTTAGGGAACTGGCCACAGAGCTCTGCCCTTCTCCTCCCCACCATCTGTGGAAAAACTATCTTCCATGAAACTTAGGAAGAAGGGGTGCAGCAGGAGGTGAGCTGGAGGGGATGGGTGAAGCTTCATCTGTATTTACAGCTGTTCCCCATCGCTCACATCACCACCCGAACTCCACCTCCCCCACCCCCCTGCACCCCCCACTCTGTCCATGGAAAAATTGTATTCCATGAAAAGGGTCCCTGGTGCCAAAAAGGTTGGGGACTGCTGGTCCAAAAGACCACCAGGATATCTAAATAGCAGAAAGATAGTAGAAAGGAGAGCTTCATTGGTGAGAGCAGTTTGCAAACCAGGATGAGATAGTCTCTGGCATGTGCTGAAGGTGCTCTCTCTTAGAGGAGGAAAGGTGCAGTTTGGATTTTTATGCCTTACAGGGTCTGTATAACACAATACAGTCATAAATATTCTGCAGGTTTGGGGGAAAGCTATACCCAGTTAGTAAATATATATGTAACATACATCCCATGTTTACTTTGGGCAGGGGTTTAGCATTAAAATGAGATGGAATTTGGCTCTTTATGTCAAAAGGTGAACTGTAGGACACAAAGACAATTTGTGCACGGCCTCTGTAAGCTGGTTGCACTGCCTTAAGGTCTGAAGTCGCTCATCAGAAGAGAATGTTTGCTAAGGCCAGTCCTCTGTCCAACGAAAGTTGTAGTGGTCTGGGTTATAAATCAGAATTAGGAAGGGTCTGATAGTGCCTATTGTTAGGAAGTTTAGCAAGAGTGTAGTTTTCCTTGTAGCCTTAGGAATTTAGAAATTTGCCGTGCCAGCCAGGCCCTGAACCCTCGACCCATAGGTAACTTGTGTTTCCTTCAGCTTAGGGTCCATAGTAGTTGGTAGGGGGTGTCTCAGGTCACAGTAGCTTTTGAACAGCTCTATTGGGATATGATTTTCATACCATACAGTTCACCCATTTAAAGTGTACAGTTCTATGGCTGTTAGTATATTCACAGAGTTGTGCAACAATCGCTACAATTTAATCTTAGAACATTTTAGTCACTGCCAAAAAGAAACCATCTTCCCATTAGCAGTTACTCCTCATGTGTGTGGACATATGTTTTTATTTCTTTTGGTTATATACCTAGGATTGGAATTGCTGGGTCATATAGTAACTTAATGGTTAACATTTTGAGGACCTGCCAGACTGTTTTCCAAAATAGCTGTACCCCATTTTCCATTCCTGACAGAGCATATAATCCTATCTTACCAAAGGATTTCCTTCTTAAATGATTAAAATTAAAAAATAAAGCTTTGTGCTAAAAAGAATAATTCTTTAAGCTATTAGAAAAACAACTCCTACATCAATTATTTTCTGAAACAGTTCCAAATAACTGGGATTTTGTTGAACTACTAATAGTAGAGGAATAGTAATAGTACCTACTTCATGAGGCTGTGAGAATTAAATGAGTTAATATGTATAAAGTACTCAGAACATTACCTGGCACATACTTAGTAAGTACTGTATAAGTGTTAGCTAGTAGTAGTAGCAGCAGCAGCAGCAATAGTAGTAATGTCATGAACATGCATAAACACTTAATATCACTGTGGTTACCTTTCCTTATATCTGGTCATGTTCTCACAGCTTAAAAAATATGAGAGGAAGAAAAATGAGAGGAAATATGGTGTGTGTACATTAATTTATACTTCCCCATTCCCCTGGTTACTTATTCTCACCAGAGGAAAGTTTTCTTTTTTGTTTTCTACTTTTTTTTTTTTTTTTTTTTTTAGTAGAGACAGGCTCTTGCTCTTTGCTCAGGCTGGTCTTGAACTACTGAGCTCAACCAGTTCTCCCACCTCAGCCTTCCATAGTGCTAGGATTACAGGCATGAGCCACCACACCTGGCCAGGAAAGGTTTCTTGATGCCCTTAGAAAGGGCTGTAAACACTAAAGGTAAATTTGCAGAATAGGGAGAAATCTGTGAAAGCTAAGAACAAGTTTATGAAGTTTTTTTTAATGCTTATCATATTGATAATTTCCTTAGGATATAAAATAATTTGTTGTAAGAGTTTGGGTGTGTGTGTGTGTGTGTGTGTGTGTGTGTGTGTTTTGACAAGACCTCCAACAACTCTCTAATACTTCTGTTATTTCTGCTTTAAATAATTCTACTTATTAATTAGGAATAAATATGATGCACAAGAACAAGAGCAAATGTCAGAAATATCTGAAACTGAGAAGAAAACTGAAGGAAAAGCATTTAATGAAGAAAAGCAGGAGGTATTTATATTGTAAAATAATATTCAATTCATCTTAACTAGTTATAATAGTTTATTGTTTGGTAGAATAGGAAATCTTGGTATTTGTGACATATATCCAACAAAATGACAAATATAGGAAATAAAAGTTTAATTTTAAGAACAAGTACCCTACATAAGGAATGTTCATGGTAAATTATATATTTATTTTTTGATATCTAGAAACTGTCATATTTAGCTGCAGAATTTAAAGAAATAGAAATTGAAAGAATAAAGCCAATTACTTTGATGCCACAACTTTCCTTCACTGCAGAATTAACAAACTTATCCAAGTGTTCACTGTAAGCACTTTTTAAGAATTATTTCTTCATTGTATATTGTCTGTTATATTGTTTTTAATAATGTTAGATTTCTTGAGTGAGTGCCATATGCCTCATATTCTGTTAAGTTTTTAAAAATGCATTTTCACATTTAATTGTTACCATAGCTCTTGTGAAGTCTGACATTATCCTTATCTTCGAGATGGGGAGATTTATGCTTATGGAAGGTTAAGTTGCCCAGGGTAACACATCTAATACATGACTGATGTGGGATATATTCCAGTCATGTTTGCTATAGAGGCTATAATGTCTTCACTGCTAAGCTTCATATATTGAGAATTAGGTTTCTTGTTTTGCTATGGTAATAATTTTTGTTCAGGTGTAGATAGGTGGAATATAAAGCTACTACGTAAAATAAAATTATACCATAACCTTTGCTTGTTAAAGGACCCTTGGCTGTCATAAAAACTATTTCAGATCAAGAGGGCCCTCTGGACAATTTTCTTATTTGACAACACAAGCTTCATTTTTTCCTAGGTGTGACTTCTTCCTTGAGCTATAATTTTTTTCTCCCTATGCCTAGGACATTATGCAAAAACAGACATCATACATATCCCCAATTCTCTCACCTACCAGGCTTATGGATATGGCAACTTAGAGCACTAGGTCCAGTTTTTCAACATCTCTATCCCATAGCACACTTTGTACCAGTCCATCTTTGAGTATTGTGAGTGTGCATCATTTAGCAGAGTGTTGGAACATAGTGGTTGTCTAATAAATATTCATATTTATTAAATGAGTGAATGGATATTTACATTTTTAAAGGACCATAAAGAGTAGCAGACACAGAGACACAATTATCACCACTCACTTTCTGACCAGAGAAGGGGGCAGCAGTGAAGCAATCCTTTATTTGTTCTATACATCCTTCGAAAATAGGCCTGAGATCATTTATTATGTAAATGAAGACCATCTAAATGAGAGTAAGGAAAACAAAGCCATAGAATGGAAGTTGGAGGGAAAAAGAATAAAGAGGAAGAAGATATGTGTGCTGGAAAACCTAGACTAAAACTTAGTAGAAGTCAAGGCAAAAGGAAATATAATGCCTTATAACTTTCAAAGCTATTGCTATCTGATAGCATTGTTATCATTCATTTAAAATGTTTGGTTGAATAAAAATTGATTCTCTAGAAAAGAATAATATGTTGATATCAAGGATATAAATGAAAGGAATACAGAGATTAGAGAGAAATTAAAAAGAATTTACAGTTGAAGAATAAGATAAGATTTCCTGAAGATAAATACAGTCCTGAATTAACAAATTTTCATAATCTATTCATGAACTCATTGTTAAAACTACTATTAGAGGGCAACATAAAGGGTAACTTTTATTGAGATATTTCTCTAAAAGTAATTGAAAAGATAGTCAAAAGAGGCCAACAGGGAGATAAGAAGTATCATCCCCTAATCCTCTGAGAACATTACAGAGAGGGGCAGATAATGGGGCAGAGATATACTAGTCCCACAGGATCATTTGGATGGGAGCAGGAGGGGATTTTATGTTTTAGCCTAGGGCTTTTCTTCTAGTCTTCTCCTGAAAAAGAAGGTGTTCTTAAACATCATTAGGTTAGTTGCCTTGCAGCTGAGAAGATATTCAATAAATGTTCATGGAGTGAATGAATGAATGGATGAAAGACTAGGAGTTTTATATCACTTGAAGTATCAATTTATTCCCCATAAAAATATTTTCATAGAAGCCCCAGGAATGTAACCTGGCTTGCCTCTCTGATCTTTAGGTTCAGAAAGAATAGCTTCCCTACTGTCCTGGGAAAAGGGGTATACAGCCTAAAACCTAATGGAATTTACAAAGACCTGTAAGAGGACACAACAAGCCTGTTGCCTTAGTGCCACATCCTTGAAGTTATTGAAAACATGGGGGTGGGAGGGAAAGTGAGTGTGTCTTTTAAAAGTATTTTCAAATTTTGTATTCAAGCTCCCTTCCCCCATTCCTCAGTCCCTCAGTTTTGTATGACATTTGGTGGGTAAATGATGTAATCTCTTTAAGTTATAATTTAGTAAAATAATAGCTGAATGATTTAAAGTACCTTGATTTTAGTTCTTTTTCTATTTTTGAGTACATATTTTTCATTAAAAACATTTGAGGAGAAATTTTTATGCACACGTAGACAAGTGTTATTTGGTATAAAGATACCATTTGTCCTCTAAAAATATCATCTTCATTTTAATATGCTAAAGTACATCTTGAAAGAACAATATTTTATATCCATTCTGTTTTTCAAGGATCAGTTAAAGGTTTATTTAATTTTTAGGCCTGAACAAAAGAGGAGAGCCAAAATTCAGAAGCTTAAATACTTTATTAAAATATTTTACAATAATAAGCAAGTTTCTCGTACTTCAGTATCTTCCCTACAGTTTGATTTTAAAGTCATGTTTCAGCAAATTTTCAATATGCAGTTATTATATTGGCCTGAAACAATTTGCCTGAAGGTATGCCATTATCATTTACTTTGGTATCTTATGTATCTTTCGTATCTAATGTATGATGCCATACATAATTTAAAATTTTTTATCAATTGCTAATATATAGTAATTTCTTTTATATTAAGAGATGACTCATTTTATATCTTTTATATTGAGATTATCTCTAATATCAATATAGGCAAGATATTTATAATTTATAATGTAATCTTTTATTCGATTTGTAGTTGTTCCAAATACTTTTCTCCTGCTAAAATTTCTGCCCACCCTGGATGTGCAGCATTACTGTTCATTCTCAAGTGAGGTAGAAGAGAGTTGCTTAAAGTATAATGAGTAGCATAGCTATTTTAAGTGTGGTTTTAAGTGTGATAATGATTTCTCCAAATTGCCCCAGCCCTGACTTGGTGGCTTCAGTCTCTTAATGAATTTGTTCTTCATCTGTTTTGGATTTTGGATCCCTTTAAAAATCAGATGAAAACATATACATAAGACTCCTTATTCCCTGTCCAAAGATCACACCATAAGATCCCCTGCACTAAAGGAAGAAGAAAATAGGATTATGGGGGAAAAAATAGAGGCAGTAAAGTCTAAACAAGAAGTCCTGATTGCTCATAAAGGGGTTAAACTTGAAGCTAGACCCGAAAGAAAAGTTAGGAGGGAATAAAGATTTGTGAAAGATGGAGCTTGAGGAGTAGGGAGAAGATTATAATTACAAATCTAAATCAAAATTATTTTTATAATGCCTATGATAATTTTGTTCTGTCCACGATAGATGATCTATTCAGTGTTCACTTATTCAAGTTCCTATCATCTTTACAATCTCCCTCTGTGTAAATTCCTACATTAAAAATATACTGACTATATTTTCCTACTATTTAACCTAAAATAAATTGTGATACAATAATCCAATCACTTGAAAGTTTAAAATCTGCTTCCCCAAATAGATAAATGTGTATTTTTGAGTCCTTCATCCATCCTATCACTTAGCACATCATCCTAATAAACCAAGAGGCAGGGAAGGAGAGGAATCTAGTTTGTCTCTACAAATTGTATCATTAGCAGCTATAAAAATTGCCTAGCAATTTTTGCTAGGCCTAACTATGTAAATCTCTATGCCTAGCCTAACAGATTCTAACCTGTATTTTTACTTCATTTCTTACCATTCCTCTTTACTCTTCAATTCAGCCAGATTGAATTGCTTTTCTTTTTCCCATACATCCTTGCAATTTTTTACATCTGAACTTTTTACAAATTCTAGCTGCTCCATTTATAATGCCCATTTTTCATTCTTAACACTTTTAATATGCTCAGCCTCAGCCACACAGTGGTGTTGATAACTGTCATCAGGATGCAAGACTGTCTCCTGGGAGGCCTCACTATGTGGAATTTTCTACCTTTGTACACATACCACTGTCCAGGGTCTGGCCTCCAGCTGTAATCAGAGAACCTGGATTTGACTGGCCACTGAGAATGCATCTACAAACCCTAAGCTAATTCGCAAGGCTGAAGTGTAAAAATCACAATACCAAATCAACATTTAAATATATTTATCAGTTCATTTTCTCTTTTTAGTCAGTCAGTTAGTTCACTGATTTATAACAAGAAATTTCTCACTCCAGCACTGGCACACACCTATAATCCCAGCTACCAGGAGGCTGAGGTGGGAGAATCACTTGAGCCGAAGGTTGGAGACCCTGCCCCTAAAAACAATTTCTTTCACAGGCCTACACCTCCTACAAACCTTTCCACACTAGGGATGCCTTTGTCAAAAAAACCAGTGTGTTGGCTTAAATTCGTTCTTACAAGTAAGCATTTAGATGACCAGAAAAAAAATATTTGACTTTCTTTTTTCTTTGCTTTCTCTGCTAATCAGCACATTCTTTCTTATCTTCCAAGGGGCAGTTTCCCCCCTTGATTTCATTCTTAGAGCATATATCACTCTTTCCCCAAGCACTGACAAACTAGTATAGGTCAAAACGACATTTTTCTATTGAAACAATTTTTGGTTTATAGTTAATGGCAGTAAACTTGCATGGCATTAGTAGAAAGCACAGCATAGAGAATCAGAAGACCTGGGTTTAGTACCCACTGAACTCCTATGGTACTTTCTACTTAGTACCTCCTTTTTCCCTTCTTCTGGAACTTTTCCTCCCTCTCCCATTCTCATAGCTTGTTTAATTTGTCCTTGGATTCCACAAGCCAGTGATTCTCCCTTTTACTTTTTCTTTTTTTTCCTTCCTGAGACATTCTGGCTCTGTCACCCAGGCTATAGTGCCATGGCATCAGCCTGGCTCACAGCAACCTCAAACTCTTGGGCTCAAGCGATCCTCCTACCTCAGCCCCCCAAATAGCTGGGACTACAGGCATACATCACCACACCTGGCTAATTTTTCTATTTTTAGTAGAGACAGGGTCTCACTCTTGCTCAGGCTGGTCTCGAACTCCTGAGCTCAAACGATCCACCCACCTCAGCCTCCCAGAGTGCTAGGATTACATCTCCCTTTTTCCTAACCAATTCAACCTAGGTTTCAATCACTTATAATAAAAACTAATATACTTTCATATAGAACCTCCATTTCCTCATTTGTAAAATGAGAATAACATCTATTAAGATTTCTTATAATTTTATCAGGTTCAAATGAGATAAAGAATTTTTTAAATACTACACAAAGTAAGTTATTAGGATATTGTGTTATATGTACCTGTATTCTCAGAACTGTATTTATAGTTATTATATTCAATTTATTTTCTATAAAGCCAGTAAAAGGCATTATACTTTTAAGGACATATGATTATCTACTTTCCTCATAATCATGTGGTTGAAATGCTACAGAACAACACCTATATTCTAATATTTTTTAAAAATGAATAAAAATGTGTTATTGAGGGTGCTTATTTTTTTCTTTTCTATTTTGTATTTCTTGTGAGCTATCAACCATTTCTTTTCTATTTAGGTTTATGAAGTAAGTAAAAGTACAAGCTTACTGGCAAAACTATACTTGCCTTTACCTAACTACACAGAACTGAAAGGCAAAACTGTTTTGGAATATGTAGAGTTTAGCTCTGACAAGCCGGTCACACCTGAGGATGGAGAAGTAGGAAGTAGTAAGTTTATTAAAAATGTTTCCTTCGCCATTTTCTTCATGAACACCATATCCTAAATAACCCTGGGTCATTTATGTGAGCAAAGAATCCTGTATTTATAGTTTTGGGTTAAAAATGAATTAAATTCTCCATTTAGATGGTAACCTAGATTGTTTAAAACTTTTTTTTGAATCGGATTTTTCAGGAAATTTAAAATCTGCAGTTAGCACCTGTGCTTTCCCTTCAGGGCAAGAGCATTATGCTCTGGAAGTGAGCTCTGCTCCTGGGTGGATGGACTGCTCTGCCTCTGCCCCTCCTTCAGTGAGCCTAAAGGCCTCCAGGACATGTGGATTGGTCTCTGACTGTGTAGGAAAGGGAGGACGAACAGGAGGGAGAGAAAAATAGAAGGAAGGACAGAGAAAAGGAGAGAGAAAAGAAGGGATGTTTCTGTTTATTTGTTTTTCAACTGATTTTACTCTTGTGCAATTAAGTTTAAGTTGGCACATCTCCAAGAACACCGTCATTCCTCTTCTCCCCAGGATTCCTTTCTTTCATCTTCTTAGGGGTTTTGCAACTACTCATCTGGTGAAAAGATAGGGTGTATGAACAAGTGAGCAGGGAGAGAAAGGAAGATAATAACTAGGCAAAAGTACCTAGGGAAAATAGGGAATAAGGAAAGAAGAGAGTCTGCTTAGAGTCCAGATGAAGCAGAGGAATAGGGTTGTAGAGACCCTGGAGAAAAGGACTCAGGATGCAAACAATTTAAGGAACGCTGGGAACTCAGCAAAAATTTCAAGAAGTATTGGTAAAGTCTCTGGAGATTGAAAAGGAAAATGGGTAGAGGCAAAGGACTCAGGAATGTAGGGAAAGGGGAGAAAGAGGAGCTTGTCTGCCTCTTTTTCTGCTGCCAGTGGTCCTTTCCTGCTGGAAGCCACTCCCAGAAAGAATGGTTAAGAAACTTCCAGGCATAAGAAAAGAAAATATGGGTGTTCATCTCTATGTAGGCAGCTCAGTCTTTTCCTCTCTCTTTTGTAGTCTGTTTGAAGTAGCCTTCCTTGAAGTCTTAGAGGGGAGATGAGGGGAAGCACTAAGAGCACAGCCTGGGCTCAGCACACAACTTCCTTTGTGTTCTTTAAGTTCCACAAATAAAAGTCAGGAGATGTACTTCAACAATGTACTTCAACTGCACCCTTTGAAAATTCATGTTTTTTAATGCCTTTTACAAAACAGATGTGCCTTTTATTCTTGAGGGAAGTGGAACTGAAGAACTGTGTCTTTTGACGTCAGGAAAACTTAGCTATTCTCTATCATGGGCCTTAGATGAAAATGGCATTCCTCTGACACCTCTGTCCCAGTCATCAAGATCTGCTTACTGCAGGTAATAAACAGATATGTTTCAAAAATAATGCCAGGTCTGACCAAGGCATCGGACAAAATGTGTGTGTGAAAGAGAAAACTCAAGTAGTAGTAGGAACAGTTTAGTTTATTTGGATGTTGATTTATTTTTTTCTTTAAATCACTTTTCTAAGGCAGTAATTTTATATGTAGGAGAATGTGTCTCTTTAGTGCTTAGGATTATAGCCACATGAATGATGAGAGGGGCATTCTAATAGCCTTTAACCTAGGCGAAGGCCAAGATTCCTGAGGATACATTTCTGGGGCCTTTATATCTCCCAGTCATTTTAGATTATCAAAGAATCATTTATGCATTATCATTTATGCATTATCAATTTTCTGGCAGGAAAATTCTGAAAAGTTTATTCTGTGTCCCAGGAATTCCCAGAGGAGTTGAGATTAATTTTTAGATCACACACACAAATAGGATTGCTAGTAAGAGTACAATAAAATTCTATAAAAATGATGATAATGCTGGCTTCTATACTATGCTATCTTTGAGGAAAATAATAGATATAAAAGAACTAGTAGATTTCATCATTTAAAAAGTAGTGAATGAGCTGGACATGGTGGTGCTTGCCAGTTGTCCCAGCTACTCAGGAGGCTGAGGCAGGAAGATTGCTTAAGCTCAGGAGTTCAAGGCCAGCCTGGGCAACATGGCGAGACCCTGTCTTTAACAAGAAAATAAAGTTAGGAATGATTATGAAAAATAGCCTTCCCCTCCATGTCTGAACACATATTTTTTAAAACAAATGGATGTAAAAATTATATCTAACTATATGACATTCCAGAAAAGCCAAAATTATGGAGATAGGAAAAAGATGAGTGGTTGCCAGAGTTTCCAAGGGGAGGGAGGGATAAATAGATGGATCATCCAGGAATTTTAGGGTAGTGAAACTATTCTGTCTGATACTATGATGGCAGATACATATCATTATACATTTGTCAAAACCTATAGAATATATTAATATAACACCAAGAGTGAACCTAGTGTAGACTACAGACTTTGGGTGACAATGATGATTCAGTGTAGGTTCATGAATTGTAACAAATGTACCACATCACTCTGGTAAGGATGTTGCTAGTGGGGGAGGCTGCACATATGTATGGGGACCTGGTATATGGGAATTCTCCGTACTTTCAGCTTAATTTTACTGTGAACCTAAAACTTCTCTTAAAAATTATCTTTTAAAAAAATAAAATAATAAAAAAATGTAATTGCTATAAATAACTTGAGTTAAATAGGAAATCAAAACAAATTAGAGATTATTTAAAAAACAACAATAGAACACTATTATGTGAAAACCAGTGGCATATGGTGAGAGTCATAGTGCATAAATACTTTTCTTGGGTAAAAAAGAGTTTTAGAGGGAAAAAAAACCTAGACTAATTGGCAATAGCACACGGAGATAATTAGTGCCGAGGAAACTGAGGTAGTGGAGGTAGGTAACTTATCAAGAAGTTTGAAAGTAAAAAGAAACTGAAAAATAAGAGAGACAGCAGAACCAAGGTGTGGATTTCTTAAAAATGGGGGCAAGCTTTATCTTTTTAAAAAAAGAAGTGATAAAATCCATGGGAAGAAAGCCAGAATATATTAGGAATTGTATAAGGTCCTTCAGAGTCAGGAAGGTATCTGACTACAACCCAAGAAAATAGCTGTGGTTCTAGAGAAGAAAAAAATCTCTCTTCAAATCAGAGAATGAGACAGAAATCACTATGAAGATAGAAATGTAATTTTGGTGAATGTTCTTGTTTTGCTAAGTAAATGAGGTCATCTTCTTAGAGACCTGGAGAAGGGCATTTTAAGAGAAAAATTGACAGCTAGTAAAAATAATTCATTTTGGAGTTAATGAGTAAGACTTTTAATACCCACAACTATTATTTTTTACACCTCTTAATATTTGTCTAGCATAGTCCCCACAAGTGTTATTCCCAATCTTTGCCTCATCATCATATTCTTTGCATTTTTCTTTATAGTCAGACTTTTGTTCCTTCATTATGAAGATGACTTTTATACAGATAATTTGGAACTTCCCTTTGTGTTTTTTAGGATTTTACTGACATATTTATGTCTTTTTCTTCCCTTACTCTCAGCCTCAATCTCCCTAAATTCTTAGGTTTTTATATTCAAAATCCATCTTTGTTTTAAAACAAACAAAAACTCAAGCATTTGATTAAACCCTGAAAACCATTTTTGGCTACTTTTCCTGTCCGAGTCCTCATATGTATGGTCTGCTGCTCTGCATACATTGCCTCCACTTTCTATTCACACATTCCCTTCCTAACCCTAGCCACTTATTCCTGAAAGTTACCAGTGAATGACCTTCTGGCCATATCCATTGGCCTGTCATCACTGTTTTACAGTTACAGTTACTGGGGAACTCAGGTTTACAAAAGATTGAAAGCAGTTCCATGCAGGAGTGGGACAGGTGACAGGTTTCAACAGGGAGTGAATTGAAAGAGAGGTTTTGAAAGTTCAGGGCTCTAAGTAAATCTTTATAATTAGAGAAAGTTATAGACTGTCCTCCACAGTTGTGAGAGCTCAGGATGGCATTGAACAGTGGTTCTGGGAACTCAGAATGGGTCCTGCAGAAGGCAAGGCTAACTTGTGGGAGTCAGAGAATGAAGCTGAAGGAGATCTGAAAGACAGAATTTCACTCATTTACCCATTCATTAATTCATTCATCGAATATTGATTGAGCTGGAGATAAAGCAGTGAACCAAAAGAGAGTCTTAGAATGCTTTAGCACTGCGTTAAACACACCTCTCCAATACCGATGATTATCTAGTTCTCATTTTGCATACTTTTAAACATAAAGCAGTTTTCTTACACCCACTAGTTAATGAAATTTTCTAACATATTAATAGTTTGTTGACTTTTATGTTTTCCCCTATTTCTTATTTTCCATACATTCTCTCTGGATTTATTTTTCTTGCCAAAGTCTGCTCTTTTAATGATTCTTTCAGTCAGTTTCTGTGGATAGCAAATTTGTTTAGTCTTTGTTTATCTGAAAATGTCTTTATTTTGTCCTAATTCTTGAATAGTAATTTAGGTGGGTATAAAATTTGAGGATGGTATTTATTTTATCGTAACACTTTGAAGCTATTATAGTACTGCATAATCTTCTGGGATTTATTATTACTGTCTAAAAGTCTACTATCAGTCTAAATGTTGGGCTTTTTTAGACTATCTTTTCTCCCTAGTAACTTTAAATTTTTTTCTTAATTCATAGAGGTGGAAAGTGGAATAGAGGTTACTAGGGGGTAGGGCTGGGAGAAATAGGGAGTTATTGTTTTAATATATTCACAGAGTTGCACAATTATCAGTACAATCTGGAGATGGATAGTGGTGATGGTTGTATAACATTGTGAATGTACTTAATGCCACCGAATTATATATATACAGTTAAAAGTGGTTATTATGGTAAATTTTATATCATATATATTTTACTTCAATTTTAAAAACATGCCTTTGGCATAGCATTTGGCTGTGTAAACCATGTGTCTTGGGGCCTGCTAGAATTAAAGAATGCCTATTTTTCAGGGCCATGCTATACTTTGATTCGTTTTGACTGAAATAAGATACATATTTTAGGACACCATTAGACAGAAAACAATCAGTTTCACATCTCCTTTGTACTACTTCCAGCTCTCCACCTGCAAAGTGAAAATCTTTAATAAAAAAGAAAGAATGGACCAGGCACAGTGGCTCACACCTGTAATCCTAGCATTTTCGGAGGCTAAGTGGGGAGGATCACTTGAGATCAGGAGTTTAAGATCAACCTGAGCAAGAGCGAAACCCCATCTCTACAAAAAATAGAGAAATTAGCTGGGCATGGTGGCATGTGCCTGTAGTCCCAGCTACTCCAGAAGCTAAGGCAGGAGGATTGCTTGAGCCCAGGAGTTTGAGGTTGCAGCAAGCTATGATGACATCCCTGCACTCTAGCTGGGGCAACAGAGCGAGAGTTTGTCTCAAGAAGAAAGGAAGGGAAGAAGGGAAGGAAGGAAAGGGAAAGAGAAAGAAAACATTCAATTGTTTGGTCTTGAGCCAAGAAGCACATTTTTTGCTTGGTGTTCAGTTGTGGAAGGGCTGTACAGATGACACAGGGACTTTGCCACAGCCCATAGCTAACTACTTACAGAGCAGCTGGGAGAATCTCTGTAGCAAGGCTCTGAGGTTTTTATTACTTATCAGGAGGCAGAAATCATGGGACTTATGTTGAAATCCAGTTACAAATTCCCTTTTTTAAAGGATATAATGGGATAAGTTTCTCTCTCTAATCTGTTAACATTTAATCTTTACCTCAGGTTCTGTCTTGTAGGGGACCTGGGCTAAGGTTGTTTTCAGAGGGAAAATTTGTTACATGGTAGTGTCAAGGGTGTCAAGTCCTAGAGATCTCTTATGACATAGACATCAAAACAGTTCAAATATGAGAGCAGAAATAGGAATTAAAAGAAAAGAATGCTCAAACTTCACTATTTATAATTTTGCTTACATCCTATCATACCAGGCATTATCTTTTGCAGCAATAGCTTCAGAAGATTTTTCATAGAAATATGAACAGATGGAAAGGAGATGATGTAAAATATTTGGGCTAAAACATTATTGAATCTTCGTCAGAACTGTATTTCTGGAGTCCCAATTTATAGATGGGACCTTTTCTCAAGTACTTTATAGAAAGGATCTTGGAAATTTTTAGTCCAAATTCCTCTACACGTGATGGAACAAATCAATGAAGAGAGAGATTTAACAACTAGGATAATTGATAGCATTAAAGAAATCTTTACTCTTTAGGGTTGAATTCCTTTTGCACTTAGCCTATAGCTAAGGTCACTAAGGCTATACTATGAGTTTTGAAGATTGTCTCATATGATCAAACAAAGATAACCCCCTGGCACACACTGTCTGGTTAACTGCATTACTGTCTATTATGTTTCAATCGTAAAGATATGGCCTAAAGTTGTTTTTATTTTGTGTACTTTGTTAATTTTGCTTAGGCAAACATTTTGGTTAAATTTCAATATTGTGCATCCTGTGAAAAGAAAATAATAAGTTTCTATGTTTAGGGTTTATAGAATACATCCAATAAGCACTGTTCACTTAAGCATCTACTGTATTTTAGTTACTACACAGAGAGGAGATAGCAGAGATTTACAGGCTTTATTTTTAAGAGGCTTGTTGTCTTTTGTAGACATTTATCAAAAGACTATGATACAAGTTAGAATATGAGAAGAACCAGGAGAGCTATCACATATAAACTTTCTATTTTATCCTCACATACAGTGGAAAGATAGATTTTATCTTTAAAGAACCAAAAGGGTATGTTTTCGCCTTTTTTAATGATGTATCATCTGCATATTGTATGCAAATTCACAAAATGTTTTCTCTGTGTTAGTGTGTTAAGGAATGTAAATGCAAGGGGCGTTCCTGGAATTCCGTGGCTCAAGGATGCACAGAAGCTTTTAGAATGGGCCAATGAAGTCAGAATTGATCCAAATAATCCAGAATATTCTGAATTAATGGAATTTATTATGGTAAGTTATAGCAAATATCAATACTGTAAATGTATCCTATATCCTAAGCTCTACCCTTTTCTACTCCCCCATAGTTTGCTATGTATTTTTCTAGGCACTAGGGAGCATGTCAAGGTAAGTCTGAAGTCAGATACAGTTTTCAACCTTTGTACAGTATTGTAAAGGGAATTGGATGTTCAGCAACTGAAATAATTACTGTTAGGCATGATGGTTGGTCCTCTCTACCTACTTAGCAGCCCACAGTATATCCAGCAGGCTAACCTTGAGGTTAACATCTATTATACACCAATAGATATGCCTGCCATACTATTAGATGCTGAAGATATCAAGATGACTTATTGACACATTCCTTCCCTGAGACTCCATTTATGGTCACTTTAATTTTTCTTTATAGCCAACTGAATTGCTCTATGTATCCCAAATGCTTTCCTCATGCCTTTATTCATGCCATTGTTCTGCCTAGAAGGGCATCCACAGTGGCTATCTTATCTAACCTGCAAGGCTGAAAAATGTTTCCCTGGTAACCTCAGTTGACATGGGCTCTTCCCTTGCTCTCCTATCAACCTTTTTTCTTTTTAAATAAACTCTAACAACTCTAATCTCATTCTGCCATTACTGTAGTTATTCATTCATGTGTTTTGTCTTTTCTTGTGAACTATAGCTAATAAATCTTTGTCTCTCTGTTAGCAACTAGCACTATTCCTTGCATGGATCATGCACTCATATTTACATTTGTTGATTAAAGCAACCTATAAATTAGATTACTACATTGAGCTCCCCTAGATTAGAGCTTTCCAAATGATGTACAGAATTGGTTACAGGTGTACAGAAATATTGATCTTCTCTCAACTCTTAGGGCAACCAAATAAGAACAGACCCAACTTTTAATTCAGTGTGCCATACAAATATTTTCATTTTCTGTGTAAGCCATGACTAGGAGAAGGTCGAGAAGCCATGTAGACTGCATTCTGTATTTTTTGCATATACTATCCCTCTACAGATTCAATTTCTCCTACTTTCCTACTTGCCACTCTTACATCTCACAGCTGAGGGAGAAAAAGAGTTTTGAAATAATTTCTGATATTAAAAAATTAATATTTTAAGTAAAGACTTTACATTTTTGTGTTTTACAGTACATGAGATATAAGGAGCAGGTTATTCCAAAATACTTCCGTCTTGACCAGTTGCAAGATGAATTTAACTTTGTTTCTGAAGAGGAGATGAAAAAGAGTAAACGTTTCCAGCTATTGCAGCTTAGAAATGCAGGTCAATTAGATATTTTCCTTCTGCAGCAAATGCCTATCTATGATAGAGAAATTCCAGATTCAGTCCTCCAGGTACTTGATTTCTATTTGAAATGGCTTGTTGTATGCTAAAGCTAATAATATTTTGCTACTTTAAACTCATCTTAATTTCTTTCTTTTTTTTTTTAAACTAATAATGTGTAGACAGATTTACCTCCTTCTCTTTAGACAATAAAAATGTACAGATCTCCCATAATTCCAGAAAGCCCTTAGCTTGATTTTACAACTTAATGTGGTCCAATCTGTTTAACAGCCAAAATCTTTCAGGTATATTCTAAGTGTATGTAACTGTTATATTTTTGTTATAAAATGTATCACCAATTTAAAAGCAGCTTTGGGGGATAAAAGGGAGAAACACTACCACAATAAACTTACACGTTGATCATAAAGCACATCTCAATTTCACAAACTTTAAAATATGAAAAAAAAGAAAAGTTAGCTGGAGCCAGTTGGCACCTATTTCTTTCAACTCTACCTTCATGAATTTCATATTAGTTGCTTTAAATTTCCTACAGGGGGAGTATTTACATCGTAAATCAGAAAATACTTTTTCTTCCCACTCCAAAAGAAACTGTTGTTAAAGGTTTACCAGCACTCCACTAGCCTTACCATAGAAGAATTATAAGACCTGATTCCTGTAGAAATAACCAATTATAGTAATCCTAGCATTTGAGCTTGCTAAGTGATAGTTCAAGAAGAAAGGAATTGTTTTTCCATCTCTGAAGAAAATGCTATATGATAGAATTACTACTGCAGGATGATGTCAGCCAACTTAGATAAAGATACCAGATTCTGATGAAGGATATTAAGGTTTATACATTTTATAAGTCAGAAAGAGTGAATCCACTCTGTTAAAATGAGAGGTTTTAAAATTTCATAATATTAAGGGGGTACAAATGTTTTTGTTACATGGATAGCTTTTTTAATGCTTGAGTCAGGGCTATAAGTGTGCCCATCACCCAAATAGTGTTCATTGTACCCGTTAGGTAGGTTTTTGCCCCTCCCATTATCCACCCTTCCTCCTGCTTGATTTCCAATGACTTTTACTTCCCTCTTGGCACATGTGTGCCCATTGGCTAGTTCCAATTTACTAGAGCGTACATGTGGTTTTTATTTTTCCATTCTTGAGATATCCACTTAGGATAATGGTCTCTAATTCCTTCCAAATTGTTGCAAAAGGAATTAATTCATCCTGTTTTTTATGTCTAAATAGTACTCTGTGGTATATATATACCAACATTTTGTTAATCCACTCATGAACTGATGGGCACTTGGGTTGATTCCAGATCTTTGTAATTGTGAATTGTGCTGCAATAAACATTTAAGTACAGAAATCTTTTTGATAAAATGACTTCTTTTTCTTTCGGTAGATACACAGTAGTGGGATTGCTGGTTTAAATGGTAGGTCTACTTTTAGTTCTTTGAGAAATCTCCATAGTGTTTTCCATAGAGGTTATACTGTTAACAATATGCAGTCCCACCAACACTGTATAAGCATTTTTTTCTCTCTGCATCAATGTCAGCATCTATTGTTTTTGGACTTTTTAATAAAAGCTATATTAACTAGAGTAAGGTAATATTTCATTGTGGTTTTAATCTGTATTACCCTGATAATTAGTGACATTGAGCATTTTTTTCATGTTCTTTTGCTGTTTGTCTATCTTTTCTTAAAAAACTTCTGTTCATGTCTTTTGTGCACTTTTTAATGGTTTTTTTTTCTTGCTGATTTATTTGAGTTCTTTGCAAATTCTGGGTATTAGCCCTTTATTGGATATATAGTTCGTGGATATTTTCTCACATTCTGTAGGTTGTTTATTTGCTTTGTGGATTATTTCCTTAGGTATACAGAAACTTTTTAATTTAATCAAGTTCCATTTATTTATTTTTGTGGTTACTATAATTGCCAATGGGGTCTTATTAATAAATACTTTGCCTAGACCTATGTCTAGAAGAGTTTTGCCTACATTTTATTCTAGAATTCTTATGGTTTCATGCCTTACATTTAAGTCTTTTATCTATCTTGAATTAATTTTTGTGAATGTTGAGAGATAGGGGTCCCGTTTTATTCTTTTGCCTGTGGCTATTCACTATCTTCAGCACGACTTATCAAATAGGGCCTCTTTTCCCCAGCGTATATTGTTGTTTGCTTTGTCCAACATCAGTTTGCTCTAGGCTCATGGTTTTATATCTGGGTTCTCTATTCTGTTCCATTGGTCTATGTCCCTATTTTTGTACCAATTGAATACTGTTTTGGTTACTATAGCCTTGTAGTATAGTTTGAAGTCTGATAATGTGGTGCCTCCAGATTTGTTCTTTTTGCTTAAAATTGCTTTGATTATTCAGGCTCTTTTCTGGTTACAAACAAAGCATAGGATTATTTTTTCTAGATCTGTGAAATATGACATTGGTATTTTGATGGGGATTGCATTGAATCTGTAAATCACTTTGAATAGTATGAACATTTTAACAATGTTGATTGTACTGATCCATGAGCAAGATATTTTTCCATTTGTTTTTGTCCTCTGCTATTTCTTTTCTCAGAGATTTCTAGTTCTCCTTGTGGAGATCTTTCATCTCCTTGGTTAATATATTCCTAAGTATTTTATTTTCTTTGTAGCTATTTTGAATGGTATTGAATCTTTGATTTGACTCTCAGCTTGACTGTTATTGGTATATAGAAATGCTACTGATTTGTGTACATTAATTTTGTAATATGAGACTTTTCTGAATTTATCTATCAATTCTAGGAGTCTCTTGGTGGAATTTTCAAGGTTTTCTAGATACAAGGTCATATTGTCAGTGAAAAGCAATAGTTTCACCTCTTCTTTCCCAATTTGGATACCCTTTATTTCTTTTTCTTGCCTGACTGCTCTGGCTAGTACTTCCAGCATTATGTTGATAGAAGTGGTGACAGTGGGCACCACTGTCTTGTGTCTTGTTCCAGTTATTAGGGGGAATGCTTTCAGCTTTTTCCCATTCAGTATGATGTTGGCTGTGGGTTTGTCATATATGGCTTTTATAATTTTCCTATGTGTTCTTTCTGTGCCTCGTTTGTTGAGGGTTTCTATCATGAAAGGGTGCTGAATTTTGTCAGATGCTTTTTCTGCATCTATTGAGATGATCATATGGTCTTCATTTTTACTTATGTTTCTGTGTTGAATCACATTTATTGATTTACATATGTTGAACCATCCTTGTATCCCTTGATGAAGCTCACCTGGTCATAATGGCTTATTTCTTTTTGATGTGCTATTGAATTCAGTTTTCTAGTATTTTATTGAGGATTTTTGCATCTGAATTTATAAGGGATACTGGTCTGTAGTTTTATTTTTTGTTGTGTCCTTTCTGGGCTTTTGTATCAAGGCGATACTGGCTTTGTAGAATGAGTTGGGGAGGAATCCTTCCTTCTGTTCAGGAGTTCTGTTTCTTCCTCATTGGGTCTTGGGTGGTTGTGTGTTTCCAGGAATTTGTCCATTTCCTCTATGTTTTCTAGTTTATGTGTGTAGAGATTTCTGTAGTATTCATGGTTTTGTACTTCTGTGCTATCAGTTGTAGTATCTCCTTTTACATTTCTGATTGAACTTAATTTGGGTCCTTTCTCCTCTATTCCTCATTAAACTAGCAAGAGGTCTATCAATTTTTTTTATCTTTTCAAAGAATCAGCCTTGTATTGTTGTTTTTGTTTTCCTTTTCATTTAGCTCTGCTCTGACCTTAGTTATTTGTTTTCTTCTGCTGGCTTTGGGTTTGGTTTGCTCTTCCTTTTCAAGTTCCTTTAGATGTGATATTAGGTTACTAATTTGTGATCATTCTGTATTTTTGATGTGGACATTTGAGGCTATGAATTCTCCCCTTAGGAATGTTTTTAATGAATCCTATAGATTGTGATAGTTATGTCCCTTTTGTTATTCAGTTCAAGGAATCTTGATTTCCATCTTTATTTCACTATTTACCCAATAATCATTCAGCAACAGGTTGTTTAATTCCTATGATTTTATATATTTGAGTGTTTCTCTTGGAATTGATTTTTAGTTTTATTCCAGTGTGGTCTGAGAGGATACATAGTATGATTTTGATTTTTTTAACATTTGTTGGGACATGTTTTGGGCCCTAAGATATGATCAATCTTGGAGAGTGTCCCATGTGCTGATAAGAATGTATAATCAGTAGTTTGGAGGGTAGAATGTTCTGTAAATATCTCTTAGGTCCATTTGTTTTAAGGTCCCCTTTAAGTACAGTGTTTCTTTATTTTCTACTTTGATGATTTGTCTGGCTCTGACAGTCAGGTGTTGAAGTCCCTGGCAATTATGATGCTACTATTTATTTCCTTGTTTAGCTCTACTTAAATTTGTTTTATGTATCTGGGAGCTCTTCAGTATTAGGTGTATATGATATACATTCCCATATATATATGATTGTTATGTCTTCTTGTTGAATTGTTCCCTTTACCATTGTATAATGGCCATCTTTGTCTTTACCACTGTTGATTTGAAGTCAATTTTATCTGATATGAGAATGGCTATATCTGCTCTCTTTCGATTTCCATTTGCGTGGAATATTTTTTTCCATCTTTTTGCCTTAAGCCTGCATGTGTCCTTATGATTTAGATGTGTTTCCTGGAGACAGCATATATTTGGGTTGTGTTTTTTTCTTTATTCAGCCACCCTATGTCTTTTGAGTGGCACATTTAAACTGTGAATGTTTAGTAATAGAATTAATATGTGGTATGCTGTTCTGTTCATCATGTTCAGTAGTACCTTACTGCTTTGTTTTCCCTTTTGTGCTGTTGTTTTATAAGAGCTATGAGCTTTAGCTATTTGGGGTGTTTTTTATACTGGTGGGTATCTATTATGTTGATTCATGTATAATGCAGTTCTGAGTATTTCCTGCAGGGCAGGTCTGGTCATGACAAATTCCCTCAGTGTTTGCTTGTCTGGAAAAGACTTAATCTCTCCATCAATTGTGAAAGTTAGTTTTGTAGGATACAAAATTCTAGGCTGGCAGTTGTTTTATTAAGAAGATGGAAGATGGGGCCTTACTTTCTTCTGGGTTGTAAGGTTTCCACTGAGAAATCTACAGTTACCATAATGTGTTTTCTTTGGAGGTTTTTTTGTTATTTTTGTCTTAATGCTTGTAGAATTTTCTCCTTTATTTTTAGTTTCACCAGGTTGATTACTATGTATCTTGGAGATGTCCTATTTGTTATGAATCTTCCTGGTGTTAGATTACCATCTTGTATCTAGGTGTCTGGATCTCTGGCAATACCAGGGAAGTTTTCCTCAATAATTTCCTCAAATAGATTTTCCATGCTTTTAACTCTTTCTTCTTCTTCCTAAAGGAATACCTATAATTTATGTGTTAGTTTGCTTTGAATGGTCCCATATCTCTGTAAGTGATTGCTCGGTCTTTTTTATTCTCTCTCTGCCTCTTTGAATTACTGGGTTAGCTCAAGAGCCTCATCTTCAAGCCCTGAGAGTCTTACTTCTCCTTGGTTTAGTCTGTTCCTGAAGTTTCTGCTGTGTTTTGAAATTTCCTAAATGCCTCTTTCATTTCTTAAGTTCTATTATATCCTTTCGTATGTTGCCTAGCTCTATAGTGACATTTTCATTAATTTCCTAAGATTTTTTTTGGCTTCTTTTTGTTGGTTTTCAACTTTCTCTTCAATTCCATTCATCTTATTTGCCATCCATATTCGGAATTCCATTTCTGTCTTTTTGGCAGTTTCCTTGTGGTTGGAGCTCACTATTGTAGCTCCATTGTGATCCCTTGGGGGTGTCAAACTGAGTGAACAGGGACTTTTCACCTACACAACTGTGAGACAACAAATTTTTGTTGTTTTAAGCTGATAAATTTGTAATAATTTGTTATGGCAGCAATAGCAAACTAGCACACTAATAAAGGAAAACCAAACATTATTGCCTCTTAATATGATACAATATGAAATACACAGCAGTACTTATGCATTCTCTTTGCCAAAAATGTATATTCTGAATCTAATTAAGATGTTAGACTAATTTGTTTACAAGAAATAGGAGGGATAGAAAAACAAGTTAAATGGCACTACAAGGAAAGAATCAAAACAAATATGAAATGTGGGACAACTGACTTGATCTCTTCAAGAAGTTATCATTTTTTAAAAAGAAAGGAGAATGTTCCATAATAAAAGAGACTAAAGAGACTTAACTAAAGGTAACACATGATCCTTTATTAGACCCTAGTTTGGGAAGGGGGAAAATGCTATAAAAGAGATTTTTTGGCCGGGCGCTGTGGCTCACGCCTGTAATCCTAGCTCTTGGGAGGCCGAGGCGGGCGGATTGCTCAAGGTCAGGAGTTCAAAACCAGCCTGAGCAAGAGCGAGACCCCGTCTCTACTATAAATAGAAAGAAATCAATTGGCCAACTGATATATATATATATAAAAAATTAGCCGGGCATGGTGGCGCATGCCTGTAGTCCCAGCTACTCGGGAGGCTGAGGCAGAAAGATCACTCGAGCCCAGGAGTTTGAGGTTGCTGTGAGCTAGGCTGACGCCATGGCACTCACTCTAGCCTGGACAACAAAGCGAGACTCTGTCTCAAAAAAAAAAAAAAAAAAAAGAGATTTTTGAGGTCAATTAGTGAAATTTGGATGTGGATTGAGTATTAGATAATATTGGGGAATTCTTAATTTCGTTGGCTATGATTATGGCATTATGGTTGTGTAGAAGCATGGCCTTAGTTTTTGGAGATTCATGCTTAAGTATTTATTTGGAGGTGAAGTATTATAATATCTATAATTTACTTTGAAATATTTTAGTCAAAAACATAAAAAGAGGGAGACAGATGAAGCAAGTATGGCTTTAATATTTAATTATTTAATCTATGGAGTGGAGATGTGGATTTTAACATTCTTTCTACTTTTTTGTATGTTTGAAAATTTGAAAAAAATTTAAATAAAAATGAATAGCATCATATACACCAATAGAAACCCACTAAAAATCTAATTTAACAAAGATATCACTTGCAAGAGCAACAAAGACTATAAATACATAGAAATATATTTAACAAAAATTGTACAAGAACTTAAAAAAAATTATGAAACTCCTTTGAATGATGTAAAAAAGAATCTAAACAAATGTTCATTGATAGGAAGAGTCAACATTGTAGATGCCAGTTCTCCCCAAATTAATCTGTAAATGTAGTAATGTAATTCCAAAGCAGTGAAATAGAATAGACTTATTATGCCTATGTGGAAACTTTATATTTGACAGAGGTGTCCTTACACATCAATTGGAAAAGAATGAATGATCTCAGAACCAATTAATGGATCATTCATTCTTTTCCAATTGATGTGTAAGGACACCTCTGTCAAATATAAAGTTTCCACATAGGCATAATAAGTCTATTCTATTTCACTGCTTTGGAATGAAATAAAATTAGATTCAAACGTCACAAAAGAAATAAATATCATGTGTAATGAAGATTACTTGTGAAAAGCAAAACTTTAAATGGGTATCTTAATCTTGGGTACAAAAAGTATTTCTTAAGATACAAAAAGTATAAACTATAAAGAAAAAGATTAATAAATTTGATAACATTAAAATTAACCCACAGACTAGAAAAAGTTATTTATAACATATATAACAATAAAATATTAATATCCACAATATTTTAACTCCTACAAGTTAATACTTTAAAAACTAAATAAAGTGATAGAAAATATTATATATGTCCTTAAGCAAAACTTGTTACTTGTCAACAGAGTTAATTTCAAGATTTCTTGTGGATAATTAGAAGAACAAATAACTTATCTTAGGATGATAGAGCATATATTGTAATATGGCTGAAGATTCTAAAATATTTACTTTATTATTTTTGTGTAGTTTTAAATGACATCTATAATATAAAATGATTTCCATGTGCATTAGGGATGTGTACTGCAAATGCATAAATAACAGGTGCAAATTTACTTTAAATCGTATAGATGAAAAGTCCTGACAACTACACATGTAATCTTAAATTTATTCATTATATTCAACACATGTTGACTACTTGGTGCCAGGCACTTTACAGATATTGTTTCAGTTAAGCCTCACAAACAATACTGTAGCATAGGTGTTATTATCATCATCATCATCATCATCATCATCATTATTATAGAGGAGGAAACTGGGGTCTAGAGCAACCAATCAACTTTCTCCAAACCATACAGCTGGTAAATAGCAGGGCCTACTTGAATCCAGGACTATCTACCTCCAAAGCCCATTTTCTTAACCACTACACTATATACTACTTCCCATTCATTTTGTTCTTAGTGATTGCCAGGCAAATGTATACATAAATAATTTTTTCTCAATCATATTCACATGTTTCATCATTTTCTCAGTCATAATTTTTTTCTGAATCATTACTCTATTTTAAAAGATAAATGGTCCTCAACCTAGAGGCAAACAGAATGTAGTCATAAACTGCTTTTAGCTAATCTTGATGGGAGAATTTAAAAGAAATGTTTTCTTTTCTCAGTGCCAGAATGTTGCCAATGTCCTACACATGAACTGAAATGAATAGTAATATTTATTACAGCATGTCATATCTGAACTCTATCACATTGGAGAAGTGAAACTAACTTAATTCTGTGTTTAGGAGTCTGAAAGTCAGATTGAGAAGGATATAGCCCTTTCAGATGTGAATTCTATTACTGCACAAAGGATTAATTCTGCCAATTTTCTGAAAAAGGTAAAAGCATCAACACAGTATTATCAATATGTTTGCATTTACTTGTGTGAAAATTGGTCTGCTGCATACATGATATTATACTTTTCCCAAAGAGTCAGATGCATGAATACACTTACTTATCACCTCTTTTTGATCACTGAGGAGTTTTCTGTTCTTTCTGTTCTTCCTTTTCAGAGTTAGCTTAACTTCATTGATAGTGAACTCTGAATGATTGGGATGTGGTTATGCACATGTTTAAACATAATTTATATTTAAACATAATTTAAAAATTTTTTCATATTTTATTTGACCCTAAAAGTTCACCTTGAGAGATACTCTAGCATTTTGCCAGAATCCCTGTTTTTACTAGTACCTTGTAATGTCATAGACCAAAGCAATTCAGGACATAAAGGGATGGAGGAGCTAATAGGAGCAGACAGAAAGAATTAGAGAAACAAATAGGCTTTGATACCAAGTCAAATAGTAAACATTTACAGAACACTCTGGCAAAGCCGTAGCCAGGCTTGAGGTGGAATCCCTCACTGAATATCATTCTTGATTTCTTTCTGTGGTCTCCTCACCACTCTGAGTTTTTAGACTCAGAAGCTTAGTGCAGGGACTGTATCTGCAGATCCTCAGTGCCCAGCACAGTGTCCTACACTTAGAAAATGCTGATAAATGTTTAAGAAATTAATGAAGTGATGGATTAGGGGCTGAGGTGGTTTCTAAAACTCCTGCAAAAGTAGACTCTCACCCAAGTAATAGCCTTTGCTGGAGAGCACCAGAGCAGCCCTGTAGGGTAATTTGAAAAGAAACAAGGAGAGCCATGAAAAGATCAAAGACATACGTTCCAGATCCCTCATGGGGACAAGTGAGAAGCAACCAGATATAACTAGAAGAGCTCCCGCAGGTGTCTGAAGACCTATTCTTACTATCCTGTCTATTCTTGGCGAGGAACCTAATCACTGAGTCCCACTTTCTTGAATAAAAACAGACAACAATGCTTGCTTTGCTTTGCTTCTGACCTGAGGGGCGAATGAGCTAAAAACCTCAAGTGCTATTCTACTTCATACATCATTACTATGAGATGGTGGTAGAATGCAGACCACTGTAGCAGTTCTAGGCATGAGAGAGCCCCCCTTTATCATTGGCAGGTGTTTTTCCCACTCTCCCCTACCCCTGTTATCCCTTCTTTACTAGCTACCTATTTCTTAAAAGTGGGGATGTGCTTTAATAATAAGTTTGCTGTCTTGGAAAATAAAGAAATATTCTTGCTCATGAGAAAAGAGAGCACATATCCTTCTTATCCTGTCTCTTCTTTTTTATGCAAGGGGAAGCCCCAGAGAGAGAGAGTGGCAGAGGATAAGCAAGTGTCTGAGGATGCTTGAACTTCATATAGGAATCCTGGGAAAGAGCTGTAAGAAAATTTTGTGGTTAGATTTCAACTCTTTGTGAAAACTTCTTTGCTTTCTGGAAACAGTTTAAAACTACAAGTTTGGTACTTTTGTGGGATAATTAATTATTACAGATACTGGAAAGATTGGATCCTGGAGGCCTATTAGGGCCATAAATACTTAAATCCTTCCACAGGAGGAACTTGTGGAACTGTGAGTTGTGTGCATTAACTTCCTACTGCGTTACTGTGGTCAGTGGTGGCTGAGGCCAGGGTTATAGCAATACAGAATGGAGTCCCAGGAGTCTCAAAGATTACTAAAGTTTTGCTAAAATGTTTGCATTTAAGAGGGTAGTGCATCTCCTCAGTCTGTCCATTTTGTTAATTTATTCAACAAATATTTATTGAATACTTGCTATAATCCCTGACCTCCTGGAATATATAGAATATATAAGATAATGAACAGCACATTATTAGTATGTTAAAGAGTGAAACGTGCTATGAAAAAAGTAGGAAGAGATGGCACAGGAAGAGGCAGATGCTAGAGACAACAATTCGACCGAGGAACAGAAGGCAATTAAGGCCAAGCATCTGCCAGTCACTAGGAAGTACGAACATTTGGATCATACAGAAGATGTTCAGAGATGACTTAAAGTCTCTTCTGTTTCACTTTTTGGATGAATGGCTTTGTAAGTTCAGTGCTCATGAATTCTTTATATCCTGGGAAGTGAAGTTACTTAATGTTGATCAAAGAAATTTCAAATTACAGTCAACTGGGAGAGAAGAAGAATTTTCAATGTCCAAACACCCTCAGGAAACAAAAGTCAAAGCAATAACATATTCAGCAATGCAGGTCTATAATGAAGAGAAGCCAGAAGTTTTTGTGATCATTGACATTTAAGACACCAAAAAAGAAAAGAAAAAAACTTCTATGAAGAACTTTTTCTCTTCTGTTTGAGAAGATACTATGATTTAAATTATATATTTTCTTTTGATATGTGGAAATCTGCAGAACAAATTTTCAACTTAAAGTGTGACTTTCGGAAACAGAAAATCAGGGCACAGCCTTGGTCTGTGTTCCCCAAATATCCAAACTTTAAAGAATTCTTCAGTTCTTGAAGGGCAGTTATGGTCCTTCTTTTTTTAATTCCCTGATGTGGCAGCAGGTGCCTCATGCCCTTTCAGTGGAATGCAAGCCCTCCAGCCTGGTCCAATTTAGTAGATGGGATCACTGATGTAAGCAGCAGCCTGGGACTGAATCCAGTTCGAAAAAAGAATAATTTGGGAAAATACATTTCTGTGTCTATAATTTTGCTTTTCTTCCAAGTTGGTTAAGACATATATTGTCTATATATTTGTTAAGGGAGGTCATGTTTAGATTGGTATAGGATAGAGTCATTCTGTATTCCAGTTGGTTTTCTTAGAAGAAATAATCAGAAGATTTCTCTAGAAAGAGACCGATTTTTCTCTCTCACTCTTCTACATTGTTTTTTAAAGCATTGATGATGACACTCCTATTTTCTCATAAGAAAAATTCAGGCCGGGAGCAGTGGCTCACACCTGTAATCCCAACACTTTGAGAGGCCAAGGCAGCAGGATCACTTGAGGCCAGGAGTTCAAGGCTGCAGTGAGCTATGATGATGCCACTGCACCTATCTCAAACAAAAAAAAAGAAAGAAAGAAAGAAAGAAAAATGTACTGGACCCTCCTTTCTAACATAATTTTATTTTAAATCCAATATATGTAAAAAGCTAGAGAAGAAAAAGAGAAAATTTTTATTTCTTTGCTGTTTTTAAGCTACCTAAGCCTTTCATCTTAAAGGAGACAGGAGGCCAGGAAAATAATCTTAAAACAGTCTGAACTTTTAAAAGTAGATGACTTTTTAAAAATGAAACTGCTCATGCTCACTTCAGCAGCACATATGCTAAAAATGAAACTGCTTTAACTTGATTTGCATTTTTTTCCTACTGTCTGTTGATTGAGATGTTCTCTCTTGTGATTAAGAGTTTGCACAAGTTACTATTTATTCACCAGAACATAAGATTGCCACTGGGTGGTGCTAAATATCACATGCTGAACTTGAACTAAAAGGAAAGAATTAGCTATGCAGTTTCTAAGTGCTCAGAATACTGTATTATTTCAATCTGGGTATTTAACAGAAAATAGAGTTAATGAAACCTAGGCCAAGAACCTGTGGTTTGAAAAGCAGCTCTTTGAATGAATATATAGCAGGATCACTGGGATAGTCCTTCTTAACCTTCTTTATACTCAGGTATGGTTTGTAAATTTGAATTACAGCTCCCCAACAAAAACGTCCAGAAGAACCCCTTACCTTTTGTTAGAGCAAATTTCCAGGCTGAGATGGGGCTCTTTTTTTATGGACCCCTTTGCATATCATGGGGTAATGGGGGCTTAATTGTGAAAATGAACAGTGGAAGACCATGAAGGCAATGGAAGAGCCAAATCCAGAGTAAGAATAACATGAGAGTTGAGATATCTTAAAACCAAGTGGGGGACAAACTTGCCTAGGGAAAAAAATGTGAGCCATATGTCTTACCACCAGCACTATACAATGGAGTTCAGCAGTCACCTGTAAGTATGCAATGCAATTATGTTTTTTAATTTATAAGAAATTTATAATCTATTATATTTTAATGTAAACTTCAAAATTTGAATTGTGTTTATTTTAAAGTATGCGAAAATGAAGGTACTGAATAAAAGGAAAATGAATATGTTACCCTTTATATGTAGAATTAGCATTCTTGGTCCATAAACAGCAGTGTACATTTTATTTGTTCAATTTTAGTTTATTTATTAGAATGGTTGCACTGGCTGTCAAAAAAAAGAAAAAGGTAGGAAGAGAGGATAGGAATTGATAGGAATTCCAGAGGGTGGAGCTGGTGAGAAGGGTGCAATTTTAAATAAGGTGGTCAAAGAAGCCTGTGAGAAGGTAACACTTCAGCAGAAGACCTGAAGGAGGTGAGGGAACTAGCCATGGAGTTACCTGGGAAAGAGCAATGCAGCCTGATGGAACCCACACATGAAAACTATGAAGTAGAGCACCCTGGCCTGTGGGAGGAGCAGCGAGGAGTCCAGTCTGCATGTTCTCTCCAAGGGAGAGAAGAGAGAGAGTGTGTGGGCAGTGATGGGGCTGCACGGATCTGGTTCACCTTCAGGGGAAACAATTGGTTGCCCATGTAACAGGACAATTTTTAGGAGTTAATGTTTTTCCCATTCATCTCCCATCACTCCATCTTCCTACCACATTCAAGATGGTAATCCAGCTCTAGGTTACGTTGTCTCCAGAATGATTTGTGGCAGGACAGAAAGCAGAAAATTGCCTCCAGACATGCTTCTCCTGGTTTCGCGTCTGAATGCCTAACCTAAACCCATTAGGAAAAATGGAGTTGAAGGAGAAAGGGATTTCCTCAGATTAAAAGGAGATGTTCAGAGTCCTTTGAGTAACCAAGGCTTAAGGGTACTGCAAGTAACAAGGACTTAAGGAAATGGCTCTGTTTAAGCACTGACTTTCTTGCCAGGCTGACAGAATGAGGGCTTAAAGTCAGAGTAGGATTGACTCAGAGGAAACACAGAAATGTGATAATATTTCTTTGAGTTTGCAGATCAAGATTCATGTCCATTACTAGTGGCTACTGTAGAAGTGGATTTACATGGCAGTTATCTCCTTTGGTGAAAACTAGTTCTGGCCTTGTATACTTGTGAGTTAGATGTAAAAAAATATGAGAGCAATGAGTTTAAGATCAGATGGAGTGGATATAGAAGGATAAAAAAAGAGAAAGAAATGAACTAATTGTAGTGTGAGAGTTGGAAATTTTTTTAATAGTAGAAGCAAACAGAACTATATTTTTACTTGTGTAATTCCCCTTTCCATTCATTGCTTATAAAAATTAGGAGTAAAAAATAGTGGTACCAGTAGCCTTATAAATACTTAATCTTAAAATATAAACAGTACATTTCTTTAAATTCTAAAAATGTTATTTTTTAGATGAGAAGATTGATAATGAAAAGAATTACCAAAATTAGCAAATTTAACTTGTCAGATATTGTGACTGATTATGAAGAAATTGTATCTACAAGGTAACTACTAAGGATTAAGTATTAAATATAAAGCTTTAAGCTAACATCTTCAAAATCCTCTGAGTTCTCTATTTTTTATTTTAATTAAGTAATATGCCAAAAATACAATTTCAGAGCATAAAGTGAAATATGGTGACTTAAAATATATTTGGTCATTTTAAAGTTGCATTTTGGAACACCTACATGATATATTTTCAATTGTATTATATTTTAGGGTAGGTTTTTGCTCTATACTTATTGGTAGTTTTTCAGGCAAGAAAGAAAAAGAAAAGAAATGCCTTTGTCCCAAGTTAGTTTTGTTCTAAGATTACCAGCCCTAAGATTGCTACTGGAATAGTCATTGTTGGTAGCACCACACTAAGCCTGTAGTTTCTCCCCTGCAAAACTGAGAACAGCTATACAAGGGTGCTGAGATCTACAAGTAGCAGTTGGGAGAGTTTTTGCTGAAGTAACACAATTCTCATATTGTCCATATGTGAAACCTAAGGGTAAGAATGGGGCTGCCATGTCTCTGAGAAAACTCTTAGGAGGCCACATACAGATTCTGGGTATTACCAATAAGGTTTGAACTGATTTAGAATGATGAACTCTATGGTGTTTTATTTTTAGTCCTTGGGGAAAACTGGGTGTGACCACAAAAATATAATTCCATGGATTTTTGTTGCCAAAGTTGGCAGCATGTGTAACTAACTCCAGTTTCAGAGCCATGGAGAAAATTTGAATATCCAGGCACTTTCAAGAGAATAGTCCCTAAAAATGAATAATCTTCTGAAAGATCATCATGCTTCATGGCTTTACGTCTCCTTGTCCCTATCTCATTTTGGACCATGTACCTAAAAGGCCCGGGGCAATAACATTGTCTCTCAGTGCAAAGGAACAGCATCTCTTCCTTTCTATGCTCAGAAAAAGATTCTTTCCTTGGGTTTAAGACAATTCTGTATCCCCTTCATAATGGAAAGAATATGGTTCAGAATAATGGCCTTATTTATAAGAATTAATCGAAAAGTAGGTGGCTGATATTCTTTTTTTATTCTCTTTAGCCAGTTGACAGAAGCAATTTGTAAGTTTGTTGAACCACGAAGAAAGTTAAAGCCTCAAAGGAAAGAAAGGAAAAAAGTGACAGCACAGACTGTCTCTGATGGAGATATTAAAATTCTTATCAGAATAGTGAGTGCCTATAATATTCCTACGAGGAAAACAATAGTTAATAGGTAAGATAACATGCCCCAATTTTTAGAATCACAAAAGATCTGTCCTAAATGTGATAAATTTCCACGTTGTCCTATTTGTAAAACTTTGCACTTGATTAATATTTCAGGTGCATAACATGAAAGAAAGTTGAAATCTTCATTTGGATAGTCAGACCTACTGTCAATGCCACATATTAACTTTTCTGAAGTTTGAGATTCCCAAAGTAACTTTAACATGTATATATTTGGGGTGTTTTCCCATGCTTGCCTTCTCATGCTATATCAAATAAATACCTTTTGTCTGTATTCCCTGTTGTGAAAATTCTAAGGCTTCTGCTGCCAACTGCTCTATTCCATGCCACTGACCCTCTCAATATCGGAGCATAAAGCTGTAGAAAGTAGGTGGGACACTAATTTTGATGTAGGAAATGTTCCAGGAAAGTTGTGAAGGAAATGTGGAATAGCTTATGAAATTAGAATTGCTATATTTATTCCCTCCTCTTCTTTCAACCTGTTATTTTAGGTGACTTCTACAAAAGTAGGATTTCACCCATCCTTTCTGTATGCACTCAGTGGGGTTTTATTTGTGTTTCTTGGGCAGAAGATATGTGGGGCTAAAATGGATATCACCAACAGATGGTTAAATTAACGTATACTGAATATGAGCGCTCATGCATGATTAGTATATCCAGGATATTTAGTGTCTCGTGTATTTAATGTCATGTATGATTTATATATTATGAATATTTAGTGCCTAAGTGCCTCAGGAATATTAGATATCCTTTTCTATCTGTGTTTAAACATGTGTGCTCTACCTGATTATTTTATGTTTACCACGACCCATGAATTCTACCTATGAAAAACAAACATTTTGCTTACTGGCTACTAATCTATAGTTAAAATGTCATAAAGGTTTTGCCTATGTTTTACAAACTATGACCTTATTCATCTAATTGAATACAATATTCTCAAAAATACATTTCAAAGGCTGTTTCATGCAATAAGGACATATAAAGTAACCACCATTTTCTGTAATCATTATGTAAAAGAAAAAATAGTGTAACACCAAAAAAGTAGGAAGGATATATTCTCAAAGTATCACTTGCCTTATTGCTCTTCTTTTGCTGAATACCAGTGAAAATTTTATCATAGATTGGATCTAATCCATATCAGCATTTAGGAGGCACTCTTCCAGAGTAGTGATTGTCAGATGTTTAGCTTTACCTACCTACAATGTGACAATCCAAAGCAAACTCTATAAAATCCAGAATAACTGAATTATATATCTCCATAAATACAGGAAGAAAACCTACCCACTGCTGCCAAAACTAATATGAAAACTAATTAAGGTATATGTTTCTATATTGTTTTTCTTAAAGAGTCTTGGATATGCCTAATTTTTTGATGTCACCTATATCTTGCCTCAGAAATAAAGAAACAGTCCAATCAATAGCCTCAGATGAGATCCTAAATGAGATAAGTATTTAACACTTCTGTAAAGTACAATATTGATTATGTTTACTCTGAATTGCAGTTGGCTTGTAATTGGTCTCTTCATCTCTATTTTCCTTGGGTTTTTGTAACACAGTGAAGGTGTTCTTTATAAAATGTAATTTTAACCATTTCATTCCCTGCTTTCAGGGTCTGTAGAGTAAGGTACAAGCTCCTTGGAAGCCACACAATGTAGGCCAGGCGTGGTGGCTCATGCCTATATCCTAGCACTTGGGAGGCTGAGGTGGGCGGATCGCTTGAGGTCAGGAGTTCGAAACCAGCCTGAGCAAGAGCAAGACCTCGTCTCTACTAAAAATAGAAAGAAATTAATTGGCCAACTAAAAATATATAGAAAAAAATTAGCCGGGCATGGTGGTGCATGCCTGTAGTCCCAGCTACTCAGGAGGCTGAGGCAAAAGGATCACTCGAGCCCAGGAGTTTGAGGTTGCTGTGAGCTAGGCTAACGCCACGGCACTTTAGCCCAGGGAAACAGAGTGAGACTCTGTCTCAGTAAAAAAAAGAAACCACACAATCTTCGATAATCTGGCCTTGCCTACCAATCAGCCTCATCTCTCTCTACTTCCCAGCTCTATCATACTACTACTTGTTCTACAAGGAAACTATTTGTTGTTTCCTTTGCCTGGAATGGCCTCAATACATCTGCATATTATTGGCCAAGTGAACTACACTACTTAATGTTTCAAAGCCCAAGCTCAAGTGATATTTTCTCTGTGATGCCCTCTTTGTCCTCACCCCAGACAGCTAATCACTCCCTTTCCTAAGTAATTCTTATACCCTGAATATATTTCTCCTATTTCATTCCTCACATTTCACTGCCCTTATTTGTTTACCTGTTGATTTTCCCCTTATAGACCATGAACTCCCTAAGGGAACATTCTATTTATTTTGGGGTCCTAGAATAATACCTGATATAGAACAAGACCAGTAGATGTTCATTAAATGAACGAATAAATAATAGCTGTTAGAAAAACTAGAAAAACTTAGCAATACAGTTGCCAAATAATTTCCTAGCCTTCTACCTTTATCAACTGTATAAAATATTACAAAAGTCTAGTCAATGTTTATTATGTGTTTCAGGAAGCTGTACACCCTTTTGTGGAAGTGTCTTTTCAGCACACTGTATACCAAACCAACACTGCAAGTGGATCTCATCCATGCTGGAATGAAGAAATTAAAGTAGATTTTATGTAAGTTGGAGTCTATTTTTCCACAGCTTCTAAAAAAAGAGCAATAACAAAATTCTTTTCTTGAGCCATTTATTGTATATAATGATCGATATAGGATTTATTTTTTAAAATTATGAAATATTTCATACATATAAACTAATATATGAAATATATGTAAACATAGGTTCTGAAGAAATAAAATGAATACCTGTGTATCCACCATTCAGCTTAAATAATAGAATATTACCAATAATTTAGAAGGTCATCTGTGCCCAAACGTAACTGCATCTTCTTTTTTTTCCTACCAGAGGTAACAACCATGAATTTGTGTTTATCATTCTTCTCTAATCACTATTTCTCTTCCTTACAATTTTACTTCATAAGTATTTATCCCTAACTATGTATTATGTATTTATGCATGTTTTTAACTTTATGTAAATTGAGTTATATTTATGTATTCTTCTGTAATCTTGTTTCTTTACTTTTAATTATTTTGAGAGATTCATCCATGTTCATGCTTGCAGCTGCTTGCTATGGTTTGAATGTGTCCTGCCCAAATTTATTTGTTAGAAACTCAATCCCCAATGCAACAGGATTAGGAGGTGGAACCTAATGGGAGGTGTTTAGGTCATAAGGACTCCACTTTCATGAATGTAATAATTATAAAAAGGGCTTGTGGGAGTGGGTTCACACTCTTCTGCTCTTCTGCCATATGAGGACACAACATTCCTCCCTAGCTTGCCCTTTGGCCTTATGCCATGTGAGGATATGGGAAGAGGGCCCTCACCAGACACCAGATGCTAGCACCTTGATCTTGGACTTCTCACCCTCCAGAACTGTAAGAAATCAATTTCTGTTCTTTATAAATTACCCAGTCTCAGGTGTTCTGTTATAGCAGCACAAAACAAACTAAGGCACTGTTACTTATTTTCACTTCCATATAGCATTACATTGCATGAAAATGCCACAATTTATTTATTTTTTTTTTCTGTTGATACACATTTATCTTTTTTCCAGTTTTTTTGCCATTACAAAAAAATGCTTTGGACATTCTTGCCCTTGTTTTCTGGAGCACATGTGCAAGACTTTCTTTTTAAGACAGTGGCTCTCAAACTTCTTTGTGCACTGGAATCACCTAGATAACTTCTTAAAACACAGTTGCTGGGCTCACCTCCCTAGTTTCTAATTCAGTGGATATGGGATAGGGCCTGATAATTCCATTATTAGCATGTTCCCAGGTGGTACTAATGCTGTCAGGTGACAACACTTTGAGAACTTGTGCACTAGGACTACAGTCTCCAACCCCCTGGCCACAGCCCAGTACCCTGGGCTTGTTAGGAACTGGCCTCACAACACCATCTGAGCTCCGCCTCTCTCCCCCTTCAATCCCTACACTCAGCCCCAGCACCTGCCAATCGGTGGAAAAATTGTCTTCCGTGAAACTCAGGAACCCAGGCCACATAGCAGGTGTGCGGCAGGAGAGCAAGGGAAGCTTCATCTATATTTACAGCTGCTACAGCTTCCCCATTGCTCCCATCACTGCCCAAGCATCCCTCAAACCTGCTCCCTAATCAGTGGAAAATCGTCTTCCCTGAAACCAGTCCCTGGTGCCAAAAAGATTGGGAATCACTGCTCTAGGTTATATGCCTAGCAGTAGAATTGCTAGGTTGTAGCTAAAGTCAGCTTCATCTTTACTAGATAATGCCAAACTGCTTTCTGAAGTGATTGTACTAATATATACTCCCAACAGCAGTATATAAAATTTCCTATTGTGCCATACATATCTTCAATAACATTCTATATTTTTAAAATTATTTTTCCCAATATGAGTGATCTAAAATGGTAGTCTCATTATGGTTTAGTTTATATTCCCATATTTCTAATGAAGTTGAGTTTTTATCAATTTTAAATACTTAACCTACTTTAGTTTTTAGAGAATTTTTAGGTTCACAGTAGAAGTAGGTGCAAAATACAGAGAGTTCCCCCTAAATCCCCTCACCACAACACACATGCAGCCATCCTCAGCATCAACATCCTGCATCAGTGTGGTATCTTTATTTTTAATATAATCCGTGAGCCAACATCAACACAGCATTATCAACAAAAGTCCATAGGGGTCACACTTTGTGTTGTACATTTTTGACAAATATATAATGACATATATCCACCACTATAGTATCATGCCAGAAGAGTTTCACTGCCGTAAAAATCTTGTGTCCTTCCTCTATTCATCCCTCCCTCCCTCTGGGAACAAATGGATCTTTTTCTACCTCCACAGTTTTGCCCTTTCCAGGTGTCATTGTATGAATCAGGATTTTCCAGAGAAACAGAACCAATACGATATGTATAAAGAAAGAGAGAGATTTATTTGTTTATTTTAAGGAATTGTCTCGCACAATTATGGAGACTGGCAAACCCCAAATCTGCAGGGCAGGATGGCAGGCTGGAGACCCAGGGCAGAGTTGCAGTTTGAATCTGAAGGCAACCTGCTGGCAGAAGTACCTGCTCCACTGGGGAAGTCAGTCTTCTTTCTAGTAAGGCTTTCAACTGATTGGATGAGTTCCACCCTTATTATGGAGGGTGATCTGCTTTAGTCAAAGCCTACTGATTTAAATTGCATCTGAAAAATATCTTCACACACACAAAAATAAATTAATTAAAAATAAATTTAAAAAGAAAAACAAAATAATATTTTCACAGAAACATCTAGAATAAAGTTTGGCCAAATGTCTAGAAACTGTGGCATACCCAAGTTGACAGACAAAATTAACCATCACGGTCATATAGTTGGAATTATACAATAGGGAGTCTTTTCAGATCAGCTTATTTCCTCACTTAGTCACATGCCTGTAAGGTTGCTCCACATCTTTTCATTGCTTTATTGCCCATTTATTTCTAACACCAAGTAATAGTCCATGATAAGGATGTATCACAGTTTACCTATCTATTCACCTTGCGCTTCTTCTCATAAGTTTATTGATCATTGGCATCTTTTCTATGAAATAGCTTTTCATGCCTTTTGTCCATTTTTCTATTGTTTGATCTATCTTTTCTTTGTAAGGGGTTCTTTATATATTATGAGTTCCAGCCCTTTGTCAGTTATATATGCTAAAACTATCTTTCCCTAATGGCTTGTCTTTCATTTTCTTTATGATATATTTTGATGCAAATAAGTTTTTAATTTTACCAATCTTTTTATTTATGGTTTGTGCTTTTAAAAAAATCTTGTTTAATGAATAATGGACTTTCTTTACTTTCCTTACTTTAAAACATATGTCAATTTGCATTAAAATATTAAACCATTGCACTTTCTATTTATTTATTTTTTCTTGATTCCATATATTTTATTATTTCACTGGATTGTGTAGTCAACCAAAGATCACAAAGGTTTTTGTGGGATGGAGGTGGGAGTAGAGAGGAGAAATTGGAAAGAAAATTTAATATTTTTTTTACCATTACACTTTCTAAAGAATGATTGGAGATATCTTTTCCTATAATATTCCTATATAAAGGAATTTTTAATTATAATTAATCAGATTTTGAAGAACCACCTGTGTTTCTGTTTGCTAACAAGAAGGAACAAAACAGATACAGACTAAAATAAATCCTATAACTAAATTTAGTATTTAGGAACACATACACACACACGAGAGAGAGAGAGAGAGAGAGAGAGAGAGAGAGAGAGAGAGAGAGAGAGAGAGACCCTATGAAAACTAATTTCATTTCGTATCCACACCCTTTAATATTGCTGTGCTTTACTGTTGGTACAAATTTCCTTCATGACCAGGTATTTGTAGCTATTAAATATCTATTTTTATCTTGAGAGGTAGGAAAATTGACTCTATATAAAATTATTCATATATGTAGAGCAGATTTTCTTATGGATTAGCCACCATTTTATATGGTTTTCTATGATTTACTTTGTATAATTTTCTATGAATATTTCATATTTCATGTAATACATGATTTTATATGATTTTTATGCTTTATACAATGCCTATGTTAATGTCTATTACCCCCCAACAAAGGCTATTGGGAACTCAGAAGAACTGACATAATTGCTTGCACATGTGTGATGATAGCTTGTAGCACATCCAGGTGTAGGTTCTCAAAGTAAAAGTCTCCAGATCCTAACCAAGATTTTCAAGAAAAGGGAGATGCTGTTTATGCCATTATTCCAACTTGATTGGAGGAGGGGGCCCTAATGGATTAGTATACCTAGGAACTTTGCTATGGATACCTGGGAATTTCTTGCTGTTAGCAGAAATCAAGTTTGTTCTTCCAGATTCAACACAGGCTCAACTGTAATTTCAGAGTCTTTGTCCAGAGTTCTAAACAGATCTCCTTGCTATTTGGTTGCCTGTCTAGACCTTGGACCTCTTGCCTTGCCTGGTTCTCTAATATTTGCTTTCTTGACCTTTTCATTCTTGTGTGTGAAGAAGAGTAATGACTTAAAGGAAAATTCTATTATGTTGTATTATATAATATTAAGTTAAATAATTAGAATATAAGATGTATGTCTTTTAAAAGTTTGTAGCAGTAAAATATGTGGTTATGTGTGTTTGGAAATAGTTGGAATATTAATTTAGAGACATTAGAGTTAGAAGAAATATACTGATTAATCAAATAAATTGATTTAGGAGATCATAAAACAGTCAATAAGATAAATAAACTTATAAGTGAACTGTAGAGTGTTTATATCCTTGCAATTATAGCAGTGAGATAAGCCAAGAACACATTTGAAGTACAACCAAGTGGATTAGGAGGTTCAGTTAAGGCAAAACTATCCAGTCACCACTTTTTTCTTGCCTCTTACATGACCTCTTATTCCCCACTCCCATGACATTTTAGTGAATAAAAACCACATGCAAATGGAATAAATAGTAATAATAAATAAATAGTAATTAGTCCCATGATCCCTGCTTTGAAGAAGGAATTGTGGTGAAATTTGAGGAAAGTGAATAGAATACAAAATACAAGATGACACGAAATGACTTAGGTGATGTAAGAGATATACTAAGTTGACAAGCTAAAAAATGTCTTGAGAATGATAGTTGTCCTTTTTCCTATTGGCATAGTATTGTAAATATACATTGCCTTCCCTGGCCTGCCTTAGGGCAAGAGGAAAGGAAACCCTTGAGGAGCAAAGTAGGGGAGTTAGCTTATTGTTTTACCACTTGGAAATGTAAGGAATCTTCAGCTTAAAATTGTTCTCAAAATTCAACCAGCATTTTTCAATTGTCACTGCCTGTAGGTCTCAGAAAGTTTTAGAAATTGTTGGAGATTCTTGGAAATTGTAGTTGTTTCCTTAACCAGCAAGCTTCAACAAAACAAAACTTCAGTAGCAGCAGCTGTACAGTGAAAACCCCTGGTCTTTAGAGCTTACTAGAACTAAGTCCAAATGAAGGCTCTGTCACTTGCTGGTGGCATTTTTACCTTGAACAAGTTATTTAACTTCTCTGAACTTCCATCTCCCCATGTAAAATAACCTACTGTATAGGACTGTGATATCTATTGCATTAGACGTTTGATGGAGATTTAATATGCAAGCTAGAGCTGAGAGTGGAAGTTTACTGCTCGTGATACACACTCCTTTCACTTACCCCCAAAATGCACCTAATCAAGTAAGTCAACAGTAGATACCTTGCAAATTAAATGCTTTACATTATTACAATTTCTGGTTCCAAAAAATACATATCGGAAAGAGAATAAGCTCTGTGGTTAAACAATCATATCTATTGACTGAGAACAAAAGAACATTTTAATTGTATGTGTGAACTAGCAGAAACTAGCAGGATTTAAGATAGTTGGAAAATCTCAATGCACAATACTCCAGTCGTTTGCAGTGGATGGCTGTAGTGAAAGCCTTTCTGCTTGACATTTAAACATTTTTATTTTTCATCATAAAAGAGATATGTTACAATGCACATGATGGCCTTAATGAAAAGTAGCAGTCTTCAAAGGATATAGATTTTTCTTAGTTTACCCTTTATAAAAGAAAAGAACACAGGCAATTTCATAGTTCTTTATGAATAATGCTCTTAGAAAATAAATGGGTTTTTAGAATATTAAGCATTTAATTATGTTTTTTTTTATTTGTAGCTCACCAGGACATGATTATAGCTTCTCAAGCTTATCTAAAATAAAAGATTATATATATATTAACATTTTTGATGAAATGATGATTGAAAAGCACGAGGTAAAGTAGAATAATTATAACCAACACTGGAATAATTCTAAGAAGGTCAAACTGAATAAAGTCTAGTAATATTTATAAATTTGATTTTAGATGCAATATATACAACATTTTCTTAAAAGGACTTGAGGCAACTTGCAATAAAATCAGACATGTGACAACATGGTTCAAAAATAACAGAGATTATAAACCATGTAGAGGAGGAGGAGGGATAAATAAATATACCAAGAACTTGGGAGAAGTAGGTTTCTGCAATTGAACATTACATTTAAATGTGAGCTTCCTTATAGCTAAGACAGAAGGATAAACAAAAATAGTTTACATAGTTCTCATTATCTGATCAAAGAAAATATGCCATTTCTACAAAAGAGACCAAGTTATTCCTAGGACTAAAATTCAGTTCTATTTAATCAATTTCTAAAATTACTGAATGCCTTTCTCATAGATATGTGAAAGTTCCTAACACAATGCCTAGTGCCATGACAGGCTCTAAAATAAATATTAGTTTCCTCCCTACTAAACTTGGCACTAAAAATATAAAGATGCGTATCCATTGTAACTACTCTCTTGGGATAGGTAAATTAAATGCTTGAATATAGATGTTTACCAAATTCTATGGCAAGACTATTGAAGGAGCAGTTAATTCTACCTAGAAGGAATAGGCGTCCAGGTCAGAGAAGTTGAATGAGACCTTGAAGTGTATAGTTCAGAAACAAGCTTTCTGTAAAAACGACTGCAAATCATAATGGCAATGTTTTCAAACCGAGTTTTCTAAGAGATATGACAAACATTAAAATATGTTTTACCAACTCCTGATAAAGGTAGAGGGTAAAATATTAAACAGGAATTAGGTGATGGCTTTTCTCCACGGAATTAAACTGAGCAGTTTTCTGATTATCTAAACTGATAATGGGTACAGCTTAGAAAACCCATAAAAATGCCTACCAGATTTACTTTCTCAAAAGAGAATTATCTCAGTGTCTAATCTGACCAGAGTTGAATAGCAGTTGATTAACAATAGAACCCTTAAAAAGGCTTTGTGTTGTTATTGGAATGATCCATATGCTTTGGTTATCAGACTTGGTTATGACAATATTGGGATGCTATTTAGGAAAGGAAAGGGCCTTGTATTCTTGCCTTCCTCTCATGGACTGGGTTGCAGGGTAACTATGGGCCAAAACATTCCATTTTCTCATAAAGAACTAGAGCTAGGTGGAGCCCCAAAATGGCCACTCAGTTGAAAGAAGGTATTGGTTTATCATTGATTACTATTCTGTCTAGAAATTCAATTATCCTCTCTTCTCTCTATGTCCCTTCTGTACTTTTTCTTTCTGCTATCTACTGTTTCTTACTTCCCTTGGATCTTCCCCTCATTAGTTACCTGATGACAAAAAGGTGAGGATTGGAAGTCTCACAGACACATACCCTATTTTTAACACTGGGGATGGAAGAGATTTGCATTTGGAGCTGACAAAGCAAGCCCTGACCACTGCTCCAGGTTTGGGGCCTAGAATCTCTCACAAAAATCTCAGTAGCCACCAAAAGAACTTAAATTAATCTAATACTCAGATATTGGTTTAAATGCTATTTAAAACAAAAATAATTATTCTTTAAGATTTTCAAATTTATTAGCATATAATTTTTCAGCATAATTTTGGACCTGCTGTTATTTACCTTCTCATTTCTAACTTTATCCAAGTATCTTTCTATTTTTTTTTTCCTGATTTAATTTGGAAGAGAGATTTGCCTATTTTTTAAAGAACCAACTGTTAAATTGTTTTTACATTTCATTTTTTGGTTTTCTAATTCAATTATTTCTGCTTGTATTTTTATTATTTTTCCCCAGTGTCCTAAGGACTGATTTTTATACATATTTTGGCCAAATGTGTTGAATGCCTAGGTTGTTTGATCTCTTGCCCTCTTATAAATAATGGAAACATTCTAAGACTATGAATTTATCTCTAAAAAAATCTTAGACTTACTTATTTTTATTTTTTTCTCTATTACATTTTTTCCTTGACCTAATAGTTTTCTAAAATATATTTTTGTATTTTCAAATGTTGAGAGGCTGTACTGTAAACTTTTGGTTTTAAATTACAGTTTTATTACATCTTGGCAAATCCTATTGTACATTTGTGCCTTTAGTCCATATTCCATTTCATCAAGCCGTTGGTCCCAAATCTACAGTTGCCAGTTAACATACAAAGTTATTAATCCTAATGACAAGATAAGGGACCCTATCGGGCAAGCTGCGTTGCTCACCAAGCAATCACATACCAGGATAAAGATGAAAGGGGTCATTTTTATTTACAAGGGGCAGAAGAAACTAAATACACAAATAGCTCACTTTTATGTATGTGGTTTAACTAAATAAACCACATAAATGTGGTCCAGTCATAGCAGCCCCACTTCAGCCATTTAAAGAGTGCCTGGCCCTTCCTCAACTTATGCCAATATGTTACAGACTTAGCACATACACATTATAGCTTAGGAATATTAACTCTTGTTTTTAATCACTTGATATAAACAATTCCCATACTAATAGATTCCTTAAAGGTTGTTTCATATATAATTCATATCGATGGTCTTAAGAATAAAATTCTTTCATTTCTTCTCAGAGAAGATATATAGGAAACCAACTGTAAAGTGAACCCCAATAGAAGTATAATCTATAGCCTGAGACGAGGTAGATCTAGGAAGCCTATAGCATCCCTGGGACCTGGGATGGAAAGATTAATTCAGTTGAGATCACATCAGTCAGACGTCCAAAGCCTTAATTGTTACAAAACTACCTAAGAGTGCCTGTTACTTTTTAGACTAGAGCGACACAGTCCATTTTGTTCAGCTCAAGGACTAGTACAAATAAGTAAAGTACAAAAAGAAGGGCTCCTGATGTCCAAGGCAGTAATCAGGGTTTTGACAACTTTTTCAGACTTCGACTGTTCTCTTCCACTTTCCCCAGATCCTCTCCACTTATGGCCTTTGGTTGATTAAATAAAAAATGTTAAGTGGCTAAAAGTGGAGTGGATCATAGGATACTGCCAATGGGAGGGACAGTGGTGGTAGTAAATGCCACCCTTTTATGCTTAATCCCTGTTCCTCCCTACTATACATACGTTATCTAATTTTAAAAATAGTGTTGGCTGGGCATGGTGGTTTATGCCTGTAATCCAAGCACTTTTTGGGAGTCTGAGGCAGGAGGATCACTTGAGCCTAGGAATTGAAGACCAGCCTGGGCTACATAGCAAGACCATGCTACTACAAAAAAATAATTTTAAAACGTTAGCAGGACATGGCAGCATGCACCTATAGTCCTAGCGACTTGGGGGGCTGAGGCAGGAGGATTGCTTGAGCCAGGAGTTCAAGGTTACAGTGAGCTATGATGATGCCACTGCACTCTAGCCCAGGCATCAGAGCAGGACCCTGTCTTTAAAAAGTTTGTTTATTGAGGAATAATTAGCGTACAATAATCTGCACATATTTAAAGTATATAATTTGACAAGTTTTGATATATGTATATACCTAAGAAATCATCATCAAAATCAAGATAATCAACATATGTGTTACCTTCAAAAGTTTTCCTCTGCTCTGGAGGCATAGTTCCCTCCCTCCTCTTCCTGCCTCCCACCCCAGGCAACCATTGATCTGCATTGTGTCACTGTAGTTTGTATCTTCTAGATTTTTATAGAAATTGAATCATAAAATATGTACTCTTTTTTTTCAATCTTGTTTCTGTTACTCAAAAAAACTATTTTGAGATTCATCCACGTTGTAGTCTTTATCAAATAGTTTGTTCCTTTATATGATATAGTAGTATTTCATTGATAAGCATACATCCCATTGTATGTTTATATATTCACTTGTTAATAGACATTTAAGTTGTTTTCTATTATAAAATAAAGCTGCTGTGAACATTTGTGTACAAGTCTTTGTATCCACTTTCATTTCTCTTAGTAGATACATAGGAGTGAAATGGCTGGATAGTATAGTAAGTAGATATTTAAGAAACTGCTAAACTGTTTTCCAAAGTGATTGTACCATTTTTTATTCCCACTAGTAATGTATGAGACTTCTAGTTCTTTTACATTTTTATAAATACTCTGTCAGAGTTTTTAATTTTAGCCATCTAATAGGTATGTGGTGGTTTCTCAATGTAGTTTTAATTTGCATTTCTTAATGAAAATGATGTTGAGCACCTCTCCATGTATTTATTTGCCATCTATGTTGGGAAAGTGTCTATTCAAGTCTTTATTCTGGTTTTAAAAGTCAGCTATTTATTTTCACATTGAGTTTTGGGAATTCTTTGTATATTTTGTATTTAAGTCCTTTATCAGATATATGATTTGCAAATATTTTCTCCCAGTATATAGTTTATCTTTTCATTATCTTAACAGTGTCTTTTGAAGAGCATGGTTTATAATTTTGATGAAGTCAAATTTACCAACTTTTCATTTCATATTTTTTTCAGCTCTGTTTTTGCTTTAGGTATTTTGCAACTTTGTTATTAAGTTCATACATGTTTAGGAATGTATTTCTTTTTGATGAATTGACTCCTTTGTCATTGTGAAATATCTCTCTTTATTCCTGTTTATATTTCTTATTTTTAAATCTGTGTCATCTACTATAAATATAGTCACTCTGGCTTTCTTTTAATTAATGTTTGTATGCTATATCTTTTTTGCCCTTTTCTTTCTTATTATTTTCTCTTAATCTGTGTCTTTATATTTAAATGGATTTATTGTAGACAGCATATAGTTGGGTCTTGCTTTTTTTTTTTTTTAATCCATTCTGACAATCTGCCTTTTAATATATGGCCATCTACATTTTGTGAAATGACTGACCTGGTTGGGTTCCATCTTCCTATTTGTTGCTTATTCCATCTGTTCTTTATGCTTTTTTTCCTTGCCTTCCTTTTTTTCTTGCCTTCTTTTGGATTGATAGACTACTTTTATGATTCCATTTTGTCTTCACTACTGACTTCTTAGCTATACTTCTTTGTTTTCTTGTTTCTCTAGGGATTACAATATATTCTTTAACTTACCACAGACTATCTTTATATAACATATTACCACTTCTTTATATAACATATAACATATATAATATATAACATACCACTTCTTTATATAACATATTACCATATAGTGCAGAATGGAATGCTATAACACCTACATTTCCCCCTCCAGTGCTTCCTTGTCATACATTTTACTTATATGTGTCATAAACTCCACAACAGCTTATTCTTTTGCTTTCAGTAGTCAATTATCTTTTTAAAAAATTAAAATGCAAGAAAAAATGTTTCTACTTATCTTTGTTTTCTTTTTAAAAAGAAAGAGGATGATTTTTATACTTATCTGTGAGTTTGGAAAATATTCATCACATAATATCAAATAGTAAACAATTTATTTATTTTAATAGGTTCACTGTCTCAAGAGCTGTAGTGGTCATTCATATATAAGAAAGAATTGGCTTGGATCTATCATCTTCCCCTTTTCTGCTCTTCTGCAACAATCAGAGGTAATAGAAAATGGTTCTTTGCTAATTATTCTAAGTTTTGACCTCTGGCTAACAGAAACATTTTCTGTTGTCTTCGAGTCAGATTCTGTGCTTGGCAGGTTGGTAAGTCAATTAAAATGATCCTGTACTAGAGTATTCTGGGTTTTAGAGTATTTGAAGGTTTTGGCTATCTCTAGAATAGGGGATACCCACAAATTCGTATCTTGTATCTTTAGACTGTTCACTAATAAAGACTAGGATAACTAGCGTTAGGTCTTAAAGCAACATCCATATTTGTGTAAGAGTTCTGTAAGCCCAGATTCACGGAACATTCTCAATAGTGTTGCTTTGTAATGATGAGTCCCAGGAGTTTCAGCTTGTCAGCATTGGTTGTTGTTAATGGTGAGATTGATGATTAACACCTGATCTCTGTGAGACCCTTGGAGTTCTCTGCTGTAGGGTTTTGTAGCAGGAATATGCTTACATGACCAGCAAAGTATAAAAATCCCAGCCTAGACTCCATTTTAGGCTCTGTTACTTATTTACTGAGTGATCTTAGGCAAGGTCACTGCCTTAATATCTCTGAGGCCATGTCAGACACAGAAGATTTAAAAATTCAGAAATGACTTTTCTAGATCAGTGATCACTGTCTATAGAATAAAACTAACATTTTCGGTACAATGTGATAATGCAGTAGTGCTTTAACAGAGGCTGGAGATGGGTACTGTGAGAACATACAGTAGGGAGTTCTTTACTCCTCCTGGGTTGCAGGGAGGAAGTGAGCGGGGATAGGGGTATGGTTCAGAGAGTTTGGTGGTGGATAAGCAAAGACTAAAGAGGAGAATGAAAGGTGAGAGAAGACTTTACTGAGGAGATAACTTTTGAAATAAGTCCTTAAAGATAAATTTGTCAAGAAAATTAGGGCTTTTGAGTGAGAAGGAATCGTGTGTATTAGTTAGGACTGCATTCGGCCATATGCAACAGAAAACTTGACTAACAGTAGCTGATGCAGGTAAGAGGTCTATTTATCTCACCTAAAAAGAAGTCCAGATGCCAGTGTGGCAGCTCAAGGATATCATCAAGAATCCAGGTTAGTGGTTTTCATCCTCACTAATGCAAATGTTCACTGCAACTCTAGCCTCAAATCTATGTTGCAATAGGAGGCAGGGAGAAGCAAGCAGGGACAGTGCCTATATCAGAAAAACAGTTCCCTATAAAACTCCAACAGACTTCTGCTTGTATTTTATTTATGTGGCATGGCCACTACCTAGCTGTTATGTTACCAACTAAAGCTGTTGGTAAGAAAGGAGGAAAGAATGGATATTGGGTAGGAGAGTAGAAGTGCCTGCATGGTATGTGTTGCAAATAAAAAGCAATAGGGATTTAAATGGTTGGAAGTACAGGGCTTCCTAAATTTGTAAATCCCTACAATTCTCAGTCTCAGGCCAGACTGTAGGCAAGAGAGGTAGTTAAGAAAGTAGGCTTCAAAGGTGGACAAACCTGGATTGTAATCCTGGCTCCACTACTCATTAGTTCCTGTGATCTTGCACAAAATATTTCAACTCTCTGAGCCTCTGTTTTTTTATCTGCAAAAGGGAGATAAGAGCATTATCTACTCCGTTGAATGTCACCATCTATATCAAGCACTTGGCACATTGTCTTGTACATAGTGCTCAGTAATTATTACCAATTATTATTAATTATTATTGTAACTCATCTCTTCCTTCCAAACACACACACACACACACACACACACACACACACACACACACACACGCTCACACACACACGATCCCTCCTCCTGGATACCTCAGGGATGTCTTTCCTGCTGTTACTTTTTTTCTCTTTCTAGACCCAATTTAAACTGTAACATGATCTTTTAGCTTCTTCTCTGAGCCTGAATTAGATTTTCTCAGAGCTTTATCAGTCCGATATAGTAACTTCCTTCCTTGTTTCATCCCTTTGTTAATCCTACCATCTCTACATAGTATATGTTAGGCAGAGACCCAGGGTGTCAGGAGTATCTATGATCATATCATCATGGAGAACCTGATCATTCTTGGTCAAGTGCATATAAGTAAAAGCCCATGTACTCACGCAAGCCTGAAGCAAGCCTGCTTTCTCCTATGGAGAGGACTGAGCTAGGGTATAATATTTAAGGGTTGTTTGTTTCCATCATGCATAATCTATTACATTAATATACTCTTTCAGATTAGTGGGACATTTCAAGTAAATATTCCACCAGTTTTGCTTGGGTATACTTGGAGTAAGACTTATGTATCTCCTAAAGAAGATTACAATTGGCAGAATTTAAAAGAATGTACCTTCTTAAATATTTTTGCTACCATTGAACCTCAAATAGCATACGTTACCTATAATCCAAAACCAGATGAGGTAGGTTTTACATTTAATTTCTTTCATTTATACCATCAAAGAAGTTTAAATTATTTTAAAAACTAGTGATAATAATTTCAAAGCTGGCAAAAATAAACATTGGTTCTTGATATTTTCCTGTGGGAACAATATGGTACAATACTTTAAATTTGATTCTAGTTTTCAGATCAAATAGATGTTTTGCAAAGAGCACAGATTTTTAAGAAAAATTGCAAGGCAATGTTTCCTAACCGAAGAATCATAACTACTGTATTTAATGAGGAAGGGAAACAGATCTTAGTAACAAGATATATCAAGGCATTAAATCCACCTCGGCAACTTCTGGATATATTACTTCATGATTCCAGTGCAACACTTGTAAGTTTTTATTTATATTTTATTAATATTATATTTATATTTTATTTATATTTTTATTAATAACAGCTTCATTGTGATTGAAGAATCCCTTTACCTTCTATTTATTTTGGTTCAATCTAGTCAATTGTCTCACCTCAGAATATTTATACTAGTTGTAAGTTATAAAGCTCTCTTAGCCTTACTCTTTAAAGTAAAATCAAAAGTTCTAGTTTAGATTGCCTTTTGCTACCCTCTACTTTTCCATCATGGATTTCTTCCTGTCTATGTGACCTGACACCCAGTATCCAAGGAGATAAATAATGCTCTCAGATTTATTTCAGAAACTATCTTTGTGTTTTAAAAAAGTATATACATCCTAACTCCTTTGCTTGTCAAGGATTGTGAAACTTGTTTATTAATTGCATGAAGTCACCAGTGTACAGAGTCATGATAGTGCATAAAAGGCAGGTATTGTATGTCGATTAAAATGTTAGTGAACTTTCTGTTCATTAACTCATTGTTTATTTGTATCCCTTTATCCTTTCCTGTATGGGGGAAATGCACAGTATACCCTCTGTCATTTGAAAACGCAGACGGCACCACTATCTCCCCACTGCAGCAGCTTATAATAAGCTTATATTAATAAAAATAATTCAGATAGATTTTGAACTTAAAAGCAAATCAAACCATTGCTATTCTTCAACATTAAAAATGTATATATATTTTTTGAGATGGAGTCTCGCTCTGTCATCCGGGCTAGAGTGTCCTGGCTTCAGCCCAGCTCACAGCAACCTGAAACTCCTGGGCTCACATGATCCTCCTGCCTCAGCCTCCTGAGTAGCTGGGATTAGAGTCACATGCCACCACGCCTGGCTAATTTTTCTATTTTTAGTAGACAGGGTCTTGGTCTTGCACAGGCTGGTCTCGAACTCCTGACCTCAAGCGATCCTCCTGCCTTGGCCTCCCAGAGTGCTAGGACTACAGCCGTAAGCCACCACACCTGGCCAAAAAAAAAAAGAAAACTTTTTAAACAGTTACACTTTAGAGTATATGTTTAATGTTGATATAATGTTTAAAATTTTAATAATTTGTTACAATAAAATATAATGATTAAGATACACCCTCTGGAGTCAGACCAACTTGGGCTTAGTTCCCCAGAGACTTCACTTATATATTGTATTAGCCATATGCCTCTGTATAGGTTAATTTATCACTCCAAGCTTATTTCCTCTTCTGTGAAACTAGAATAATGATAGTTTCTACTTTGTAGCCTTATAGCATATACTACATGAGATAATGCCTGTAAAGCACTCTGCTCAGTGATGGATATATAATACATACTCAATAAATATAAATTAATATTATTCTAGGACATCATTTCTCGATTTGTATCTTTGATTCCTTTTATGCCTGATACACTGGATGAAAATGATGGTTTTGATATATGGCTGACATCAGAGGTAATAAATTACATTTTTATAGTGAAAGTATATAGTGTTTTTTGCTTTTCTTTGAAAGAAGCCTTTTAAAATATTATGTATTTATGTAATACTTGGCTTGTGAAATTTAAAAGTATTTGATAATTTTACATACATCTTCAGTTCTATCACAATCTATGGAAATAATTTATGAAGGCCAAAAATCTTTTCAAGTGATATCTCATGAATATTTTGATTCCAAAGGAATTCTGAGAATATAATATTATGATATTCTCCAGAGAGCAGTATGATTGTCACTGTGGAGTTGGACAGACCCTAAAGTCTTGGGCAAACACTGTCACTTTCCTAAAGCTTTCCTCAGTCTCCCCCAACAGAATGAAGACCTCATATAGCAATGCTCTTCCTTAGCACTTGAATTAAAGATATCTTTAGACTCGTTGCCAAATTAAATACAGGCCCCATGCAATATATGAGACAAATTAATGTTAAAAATTATTTGTTTATCTGAAATTCAAATTTAACTGGGCATCCTATAAATTTTTTTCTGAATTTGGCAACCCTAATTAGAGCACTGCCTCCATTCCTCCTTAAATTGTATTTAGTTGCTCATATGTTGACCCCACACCTACACCCTGTATACGTACATCCTGAATGTAGAAGGCAGAAGGAGACTTGGTTCTTATATGTTTTTATATTCCTCACTTGTACACTGCTTTAAATTTAGCAAGAATTCAATAAATATTTTTAATTAGAAAATACAAATGTAATGGGAGCCTAATAGAGGGACACTTGCATCTGGAAGTGATAGTCCTGGCACCTAGCTAGAATGTTTTAGGGCTGGGTTTGAGCTAAACTGGATTTAAGGGACAGAGGGATAACATAGTAGGTTAGACTTAATAGGTCTGTGTCCTACTAAGTGGACCAAGGAAGACACAAATGTATGGTTTTGTTCTAAGATCCAGTGATTCAAATCTGTTAGAACTCAGAAAGATATCATTTAGTATAGACTCCTCTGAGACTCTTTGAAAGAATCAGGAGGTGTTCAGGGGCATTATGATTCTGCAGAACCGTTAAATGAGGCTGAGCTAAAACTAACCATTCAGGCAAATAATATTATCCCTGAGTCTCCTCCATCAAAACAATACACATAATTAAAAGGTTACTACAGGCTTGGGATTCCTCTTAGCTAATGTCTTCCCATTGACATGAACTCTTTTTTGGCTTTGGTTTGGTTTGGGTTGAGTTGGGTTGTTTTTTCTGTTATGTTTTGTTTTGTTTTTTGCTTTTAAAAAATTTTAATTATTATGGGCACATAATAGTTGTATATCTTTATAGGGTATATGTGATGTTTTGATACAGGAATACAATATGTATTAATCAAATCAGGGTACTTGGAGTATCCATCACCTGAGGCATTTATCATTTCTTTGTGTTAGAAACATTCCATTTCCACTCTTTTACTTATTTTAAAGTATACCCTAACTTATTATTGGTTATAGTCACTTTGTTGTGCTATCAAATATTATTCACTCTATCTAACTATCCATTGACATGAACTCTTTGGCCACAGGATGCCCATGAGTGTGTGACTGATTAGATTTCACAAAACAAGAATTATTTTTCTCCCACCTAACATTCAATCGTTGGAGTCAAAAAACATGAGTTCAAATCCTAGTTAAATGATTTAATATCTGTGTGACCTAAGATAAGTTATGTAACCTCTTTTGACCTCAATTTCCTCATCTATTCATACAGGAGTTTGAAAGGACTGAATGAAATAATATAAGCAAGCATCTAGAACTCAGGAAGAATGAGGATGAGAATTATTTACTCTCATCCTCTCCCTCCTCCTCTTATAAAATCCACTTAATGGAGCTTCCTTGGCTTGACATTGAAGACTATTCTTATTCTACCTCTAGCTCTCCCATTCACTTTTCTTTCAGAAGGGCCTCCTTACCATCCTCCCTAACCCCCATCTGTCACCATCACCTTCAGCTAGTGCATACTGATATGACCATATCAGTTGTTAAAAAATTGAAATGCTTCCACACTGGTCATTATATAGTCACTGTCAAGAGCCCCCTAGTTGACCCCTACCCACATCTCCCTGGCCACCACAGACTTTTCCCTGGGACTGTAGTGAACTGGAAAGCACATATCCCATCTAAATGGTGTAGCTGCTACTTGGCAACAACAGATTGTGGCCATATGAAAATTGGGCCCAGGTATTTGCTAGAGTTTTTTATTTTTTCAACAGAAGCCAGAAGTCCAGAGTTTTAGATGAAATTTCACATTTTCTTTTAACATTCTGGGGACCAAATAAAACACACCTATAGACTAGAACTAGGTCATAGACCACCAGCCTCTGCTACTTCTGCTGCACTTTTTCTCTCCTGCTGTACTACTTTGTGTTAGTAGGAACCCTATATTTGATCTATTACACCCAGCTCAGCTGTTCAGCTCTTTCAGCTGAAGAAGTTTCAATCACTCTTCCTGACTGGGATCCAACTCAGATCTCTTCCTTTCTTTGAGTTGAGAGTACCGTATTGGTACAGGACAGCATGTAGCTCCATGGCCCAAAAGATCACTTCCTCCCAAACATTATGTGATTGATGCCCTATCAGGTTTCCTGAAAATACCAGTCTATATGTCCCTGTTTGCCCAGGGCAGTTTAATATTTATCCTAAACAAAAATGTCCCATTTTGAGATTTGGGGTATGAATTATCTGGTTACTCTATACAATATATTAAGTGCCACATAATAAAGGTGACCCCAATATTCCTAGTCAATATTCTGTTCTTCTAATGCCCTAGCAAAGCAAGAGCTGTCTGTTTTGCTGTCATCTCAGCAACTTGGTAAAATAAGTGGATTTGGAATTAGAGGGAGTAGAGGGGCTCTAAATCTGTTGGATGCTTGCATTACTCAACTTTCCTTTCCTTTATTTTTTTTTTGTTCTTGTTGCTTTGTCTTGCCTTAGCGCTGCATCAGTTTGGCTATTGGAAATAAGGAGGAGCATGCCATTCTTCTCTGTAATTTCTTCCTGTATTTGGGGAAGAAAGCGTTGGTCCTACTGGGAACCTCAGTGTTAGAAGTAAGTGCTGGAGTTCATATTGAAATAATGTAAGAAAACCAAATCAGATTCCAGCTACAAGTTTAAAAGACTTCAACTCCAGGTTTTTATCTCTTCACAAGCTAATTTGGAATTTCATGGGCAATTATTATAATAGTTAAGAGGATAATGTTATTTCATCAAATTTCTACAATACAATGTAAAGAATGACTTCCTTTTGTGTTTCTCCTTTATACAATAGTACTAAAAATAGGGTCTACTTCATAGGGTTACTGGGAATATTAAAGTGCCTAGTACTGCAGTCCCCACCCCTGGGCTGCGCACTGCCTGTTAGGAATCAAGCTACATAGCAGGAGGTGAGTGGTGGGTGAGCAAGCTTCCTCTGTATTTACAGCCGCTCCCTATTGCTTGCATCAAGCCCTGATCTCCACCTCCTGTCAGATCAATGGCAGCACTAGATTCTCATAAGAGCAGGAGCCCTACTGTAAGCTGTGCATGTTCAGGATCTAGGTTGCATGCTCCTTACGAGAATCTAATGCTTGATTATCTGAGGTGGAGCTGAGATGGTGATACTAGTGCTGGGGAGTGGCTGCAAATATATATTATTGTGAGCAGAGAGGTTTGACTGCATAATAAATGTAATGTGCTTGAATCACCCCCAAACTATCCCCCTTCCCCAGTCCATGAAAAAATTGTCTTCCATGAAATCAATCCTGGGTGCCAAAAAGGCTGGGGACTGCTGGCCTAGTTCACATAAGGCACTAAGAATAGCACCTGTTCATGGCAAATAATAAATGGTGGTGGTGGTTGTTATGTAGCAATAGTTATAGTGTATTTGTGGTGGCTATAATCCACCATATGTTTCTATTAATAACTATATTTTAAGATCTTTTAAAAAAACAGTTCTCTTCATGCTCCATTACCCAGGTTTTTTTAAATTTCATCATAATAAGGGGGTACAAATGTTAAGGATACATACATTGCTATTGCCTTCCCTCCCCCCTCTAGTCAGAGCTTCAATCATGTCCATGCCCCCGACAATGCACAAGGCACTTATAATGTATATATATAAACCCATCCCCTCCCCCTCCACCTGCCCGACACCCAATAAATGTTATTTTTTTATAACATTTTGGTTAGATTTTATAATTTTGCCTTTACTTAGTAAAGGTTAGAGGTGCGCTCTTCCCCTCCACACTGTTTGGTGCATCTCTCAGATGTGGATCTATTCCCCCACGCCCTGAATCTCTGGTAAACACCACCCACCTTTGAGCACCATATCGGAAATCAGTCAGTACCAATGTGACGGCGAGTACACGTGGAGCCCATTTTTCAGATATTGTGTCACCTCACTTTGGATAATGAGCTTAAGCTCAATCCAGGATAATATAAGTGGTGTTAGCTCACTGTTATTTCTTAGAATTGAGTAATATTCCATTGTGAACATATACCAAATTTTAATTATCCAGTCATGAATTGATGGGCACTTGGGTTGTTTCCATGTCCTTGCAATAGTGAATTGTGCTGCCAAAAACATTTGGGTACAGATGTCTTTATAATAGAATGATTTATGCTCTTTCGAGTAGATGCCTAATAATGCTATTGCTGGGTCGAATGGTATTTCTATTTTTAGCTGTTTGAGGTATCTCCAAATTTTTTCCACAATGGTTGCACCAATTTGCAGTCCCACCAGCAGTGTAAGAATGTTCCTGTCTCTCTCCATCCCCACAAGCATTTATTGCTTTGGGATTTCTTGATACGGGCCAATCTCACTGGGGTTAGATGATACCTCATTGTGGTTTTGATTTGCATTTCTCTAATGATTAGAGATGTTGAGCATTTTTTTTATATGTTTGCTGGCCATTACTCTGTCTTCTTTGGAAAAGTTTCTCTTCCTTTCCATTGCCCATTTCTTGATGTGGTTGTTTGATTTTTTTCTTGTTAAATCTCTTGAGTTCTAGATAGATTCTTGTTATCAGACCTTTATCAGAAGGGTAGAGAGCAAATATTTTCTCCCATTTTATGGGTTGTCTATTTGCTGTAATGATAGTTTCTTTGGCTGAGCAGAAGCTTCTTAGTTTGATCAGATCCCATTTGTTTATTTTTGATGCTGCGGTGATTGCTTTGGGGGTCTTCTTCTAAAATTCTTTGCCTAGGCCAGGGTCGGAGAGGGTTTTCCCAACATCTTCTTCTAGGATTCTTAACGTTTCATGTCTTAGATTTAAGTCTGTTATCCATCTTGAGTGAATTTTTGTGAGAGGTGAAAGGTAGGGATCCGGATTCATTCTTCTACATATAGCTATCCAATTTTCCCAGCACCATTTATTGAAGAGAGATTCTTTTCCCCATTATATATTTTTGTCCACTTTATCAAAGATTAAGTTACCATATGCTGTGGTTTCATCTCTAGAACCTCAGACCAATTCCAAACATCAATGCCTCTGTTCTTATAACAGTACGAAGCTGATTTAATTATTATTGCTTTATAGTACAGCTTGAAGTCAGGAAGACTGATGCCTCCCAGTTTGTTCTTTTTACTTAAGATTGCTTTGGCTATATGTGGTTTTTTTCTAGTTCCATACAAAGTGAAGAATTATTTTTTCTAGATCTGTGAAGAATGATGGTGGTATTTTGATGGGGATTGCATTAATTCTGTAGATGACTTTAGGTAATACTGACATTTTAACAATATTGATTCTACCAATCCATGAACAAGGTATATTTTTCCATCTGTTTACATCTTCTACAATTTCTTTTTTTAGTGTTTCATAGTTCTCCTTGCATAAGTCTTTTGTATCTTTTGTTAGATATATTCCTAGATATTTAATTTTCTTTGGGGCTATAGTAAAAGGAATTACATTTTTGATTTGAGCTTCAGCTTGATGGTTCTTGGCATATATAATGCCTCTGCTTTGTGTATATTGATTTTTTAACCTGAAACTTTACTGAATTCATTTATCAAATCTAGGAGTCTCTTGGAGGAATCCATAGGGTTTTCTAGGCATAATATCATATCATCTGCAAAAAGCGGGAGTTTGGTCTTATCTGCACCCACTTAGATGCCCTTAATATCCCTCTCTTTCCTGATTGCTATAGCTTGGACTTCAAGCACTATGTTGAATAGAAGAGGAGATAGTGGGCATCCTTGTTTAGTTCCAGTTCGAAGTGGGAATGGTTTCTATTTTTCCCCATTCAGTATGATATTGGCTGTGGGTTTGTCATAAATGGATTTGATAATTTTAAGATAAGAACCACTTATGCCTATTTTGTTCAGAGTTTTTATCATAAAGGTGTGTTGGACTTTGTCAAATGCTTTTTCTGCATCTATTGAGAGAATCATATGGTCTTTGTTCTTTTTTTTTTATTTATGAGGCAAATTGCATTTATAGACTTGCATATGTTGAACCAGCCTTGCATCCCTGGGATAAAGCCCACCTGGTCATGGTGAATTATTTTTTTGATGTGCTGCTGAATTCTGTGTGCTAGAATTTTGTTGAGGATTTTTGCATCTATATTCAGAGGGATATTAGTCTGTAATTTTCTTTTTTTGTTGCGTCCTTTCCTGGTTTTGGTATCAAGGTAATATTGGCTTCATAGAATAAGTTAGGAAGGATACCATCCTTCCCAATGTGGTGGAATAATTTCCATAGTATAGGTATGAGTTGATATTTGTATGTTTATTAGGACTCTGAAGTGTAGCCATCTGGTCTAGGACTTTTCCATTTGTGGAGGTTGTTAATTACTACTCCAATTTCTGCACTTAAGATTAGTCTATTCAGGAATTCTGTTACCTCCTGGGTGAACTTAGGGAGGTTGTATGAATCCAGGAATTTATCCATTTCTTCCTCATTATGTAGTTTTGGGGCATATAGATTTCTATAGTAGTCAAACATAATGTTTTGTATTTCTGTGGTGTCTGTTGTGACCTCTCCTTTTTCATTTCTTATTGAGTTTATTAGAGTCTTTTCCCTTTGAGTTCTTGTTAGTCTAGACAGAGGGCTATCAATTTTGTTTATCTTTTTAAAAAACCAGCTTCTGATTTTGTTGAACGTCTGTATAATTCTCTTGTTCTCCATTTCATTTAGTTCTGCTTTGATCTTAATTGTTGCTTTTCCTATGCTAGGATTGGAATTGGTTTGCTCTTCTTTTTCCAATTCCTTGAGTCTGTTCATTAAGTTGTTGGTATCTAATCTTTCTGTTTTTTGGATGTGAGCATTTATTGCTATTAGTTTTCCTCTCGGATATACTTTTGCTGTATCCCACAGGTTTTGGTAACATGTGATTCCATTGTCATTTTGTTCAAAGAAACTCTTGATTTGCCTCTGAATTTCCTCCTTGACCCAATAGTTATTCAAGAGTAGATTGTTTAGTTTCCATAACTTTGTGAAGTGGTGCATTTTTCTGTTAGAATTGAACTCTAATTTTATACCAGTATGGTCAGAGAAGACACATGGTATTATTTTTATTTTCTTGAATTTTTTGAGATCTGCTTTGCAGCCTAGTATGTGATCAGTTTTGGAGAAGGATCCATGGACTGCTGAGAAGAATGTAAATTCAACTTTATTTGGGTGGAATGTTCTGTAGAGATCTCTCAGTCCTTTTTGGTCAAGAGCTTTGTTTAAGTCCCTTATTTCTTTACTTAATTTCTGTTTGGAGGATCTATCTAGTTCATTCGGTGGTGTGTTAAAGTCCCCTGCTACTATGGCAGTATTGTTTAATGTGGTATTTAGTTCAGACAAGCTTTGCTTTATGTAATTGGGTGCTCCTGCATTGAGTGCATAAATATTAAGAGTTGTTAAATCTTCTTGTTGGATCTTCCCTTTCACCATTATAAAGTGGCCGTCTTTATCCTTTTTTACTTTTGCTATTTTAAAACTTATGTTGTCTGCAAATAGTATAGCTACCTCTGCTTTCTTTTGACTTACATTTGCCTGGATGATAGTTTTCCATCCCTTGATCTTCAGCCAGGAGGTATCTTTGTGGGTTAGATGTGTTTCCTGTAGACAGTAGATACTAGGTTTGTGGAATTTTATCCACTCTGCCAGTCTATGCCTCTTCAGAGGAGAGTTTAAACCATTTATATTTATTGAGAGGATTGAAATTGGAGGAAGATTTTCATTTATATTGTTGGGTGAAGTCCTGTTGTTTTGTCTTAGTCCTTGAGCCATCATGAAGTTCAAAGTCTAGTCTTTAATTCTTCGAGGATTTTACTTTGAGGAGTGTCTATTGCCCTGTTTGCTGTGGAAGGCAGGTCTGAGAATTTCCTGAAGGGCTGGTCTGGTCTTTGCAGATTCCTTCAGCGATTGCTTGTCTGAGAAGGACTTTATTTCACCCTCATAGATGAAACTTAATTTTGCCGGATAAAGAACTCTAGGTTGGGCTTTATTCTGTTTTAGAAGATTAAGGATAGGCACCCACTCCCTCCTGGCTTGTAAGGTTTCAGATGAGAAGTCTGCTGTTAGTCTGATAGGCTTTCCTTTATAGGTTATTTGTTGTTTTCGCTTTGCTGTACGGAGGATTGCTTCTTTCACACTTACTTTGGTCAGCTTAATAACCACATGAGGAGGTGATTATCTATTCATGTTGAGTGTCCCAGTAGTTCTATGCGCTTCTTGTATCTGGATATCAAGATTTCTGGCCGGGCCCAGCATATTTTCCTCCAGTATTCTGTAAAATAAGTTTTCCAACCCTTGTGAATGTTCCTCCTCTCCTTCTGGAATCCTGATCAACCTGAGATTCGACTTTTTAACATAATCCCATACTTCCTGTAAGCTTTGGTCTTATCTCTTGTTTCTGTGCTCCCTTTCTTCCTCTGACTTGTTTAGCATGTAGCCATAATCTTCAAGCTCTGAGATTCTTTCCTCTGCATGGTCTGTCCTGTTTTTGAGGCTTTCCACTGTATTATGGAGTTCCTTGAATGTTTCCTTCATTGCCAGAATTTCTGATTGGTTTTTCTGAATTACTTCGATTTCTTTGGAGAATTTTTCATTCATTTCCTGGATTGTTCTTATGGTTTCTCCATATTGGGCTTCTATTTTCTCTTCAATTACATTGAGTTTTCTAACAATCCATATTTGGAATTCTTCCTCTGTTAGTTTAATCATATCATGTAAGTTGGTGTCAGTTGGTGGAGAATGAGTATTTTCTTTTGGAGGTGACTTTTCTCTCTGCTCCTTCATGATTCCTGTTATCTTTATCTGGTTCTTCCTTATCTGGATACTTTGTTGAGGATCAGTGGTGCTGGAACTCGATTATAAGTTGTGTTCTGGGGTTCCAAAGGAATGATCCTTGGAAGAGCTGGGGAATATATGCTCTGGTCCTGTATCATCTCAGAGGAGTTTGAGCCTGTTGGGTTATCTTTGACCTGATGTCTTCACTTTATGTCCACAGAGTTTATTGGGTTTGGGTCCCTTGCTTAGACATCCAGGGGTTTGTTCCCTATAGTGAGATGGAGACCAGTATCCACCACTATGTTGAAGTGGGAGGCACTGTGTTAGGCTCTGAATTTATTCTTTCTTTTGTTATCTGTGGTTTGTGAGAAGGAATCAATTATTAATGTATCCCAAGATCTTTGTATTGCACTCTAAGCCTCCAAATAGGATATACAGATATCTCAGTCTTAAGGGAGTATCTTGACACTCCCAAGGGTTCCTAGAGTCATTAGGAATAGCAACCTCCTTCACAACTCTGCCTTGCTAAGACAGGCTCTGCTTTCTGGGCACAGATCGCAAATGGCTGAATGCAGCAGGAAACCACCCATGTTCAATCTTGCGAGACAGCCGCCAAACAAAACACTACTCTCCCCTTTTTGCCCATTTAAACTCAGCCTCCGAGGCCAACAGCCGGGTTAGGGCAGAGGGGAGGCCTGAGACCACTTCCAGCTTGGCCCTCCACAGCATTTCCAAGCTATGGAGTGGCAGCCTCGGTACTGGGAAGCGGCTGCTGGGTTCAGACCCTCCCCTACCCGCTCCTGCTTCAGCAGAGCGCTGAGAGTTCAAAAAGTTGCCTTCTCCAGAAGCCCGATCAGTTCAGCCAGTTTAGGGTAGGGGAGATGCATGATACAGCTTCCAGCACGGCCCTCTGCAGCATTTCCAAGCTACGGAGCGGCAGCAGTGGTACTGGGAAGCAGCTGCTGGGTTTGGACCCTCCGCCACCTGAAACTGCTTCAGGGGAGTGCTGCAGAGAATTCAAAATGCTGCCTGTTCCAGACTCTACTCAGCACTGCTCGTCTGCCGTCTGCCCGCGTTACCGCTTCCTACCAACTTCAGGCATTTCCCTGCCTGTGTGAGTGTGGGTTTCGGTGGGGGAGGGATCATCTCCCTGTGCAAGGCAGAAGCAATGCCTCCTCTGGCCAGCCTGTCAGGGCAACAGATGTGTGGACACACTCCCTCCCTAGTGTATATTTCCAACTCCCTGAGTTTTGTGGAAGATTTTTCGGTTCACCTTTAATTATTGTCTACAATTTTCGTATCCCAGTGTCTCTCTGCAGTCTTGCGAAGCTGATCCAGTGTAAGTGCAGATCACTTGCGTGTGGTTGTCTGCCTTCCTCGCTTCTCAGTCTGAGAGCAGAGGGCCAAGAGGTCAGCCCTACTCTGCCATTTTTCTCAATCAGCCCCATTACCCAGGTTTTAATCTTATAAGAAGTGGGTCAGAAATTCCTATTTACCTATCAGAAATTTTTATAACTTAATTTATATACTTCTCCTACATTCATATCTCTAAAAAACTATTCTTTTTAGACTGTTTCTAGCCCTACCATGAGTGTCTTGTTAAATGTCAACATTTCCAGTCTTGCCTTAGTCTTTTGTCATAATCATTTGTTTACCCATATTCCCTTATTATTTCTTTTTCAAGTTCGTTCACTAAAAGCCTATGCTATGGTCAATTCCCTCCATATAGTCCCCTTCTGTAGGTTTAAGTGCCACTAGGATGGCAGTAAACAGTCAACAATATTTTGACAGACATTTGCATCTGTACCTATGAACCACACCACCAGAGGCAGCCACATAGGGCTTTCCCTTCACTGCGTGGTTTAGCTGAAGCCTCCTCTATCCTACAGAGAAGAGGAGCGTGGTGATCAAGAGCAAGTACTGTGGAGTCAGAGAGACCAGGCTACACAGCATAGTGTTAAGTATATGGGTTAGGGGCACAGTCAGACATGGGTTTTACACCCAGCAATGCCACTTACTAACTGTATGTTGTCAACCTTGTTTACTTCTCTGAGCCTCAGTTATATCCTACAAAACAGGAATAATGCCATTCACTGTTAGCCTAGCTTAGACTTTGATTCATCTGAAAGATGGGCATAATAACCATTCCTACCTCACAAAATTTGGAGTGAATTAAAGTGAGAAAGTTAGTGTGAATTCGTAGAATAGTACCTGGTACACATAAATAATCAATAAATGTTAAATGATCTTATTCTTATTACCTGAACTTGTATTATTTGCCAAGAAAGGCTTACACTATAAAAGGTATGTGCATAGAAAAATAGTAATATAATGACTACTTTTTACTCCTCAGACTAGTTTCCTGTATGCTTTTTCTTTAGCCTCTAAATCTAAATCTTGTTCTTAATTTTAATTTAATGGCTTAAAATTTCTTAAATTTTAATTTAATGGCTTAGTGTTATCCAAGCCTGTCTCTGTTCCGTAACTCTGCCTGATATTCACCCATAGTCTCTAACTATATTCTAATTCAGGGATCCTCAAACTACAGCCTGCGGGCCACATGCAGCCTGCCACGGACATTTATCCAGTTCGCCGGGTGTTTTTGCCGCTGTTGCCTGTCCTGCTTAGCAGCCGATTGGTCCTGGGCCCACAGTGCGCATGTGTGGAATGCGCGCCGCACTCTCCAATGGCCCTCTAACGGTCTGAGGGACGGTGAACTGGCCCCCTGTTTAAAAAGTTTGAGGAGCCCTGTAGAGCTAGTCCATATAGCACCTCGTGTGAATTAGACAAAAATGCCCCTACCTCAAGACACTTCAGTACTATCTGTTGGGAAATCATCATAATATGCTGATTTTGTTAGAATAACATATTTTATTGCCATGAGGGTAATACCCTGCAAGACCATACCTGGCAGCACTAGCTCACAAGTTCTCTCATCTGAATCCTTATGCTAAGCTGGGCCTGAGTATTTCTAGAGCTTTGGGGGGATTTTTGTTTTCAAAAAATTAAAAAGCCCTAAAAAAGTCTTTTAAGAATTAGAATCAGCACATTATAATTTCCACATGCAGAAGTTAGTTAAGTGCACCACAAATGACTTTAACTCTGTTTCCTCATACAGGGGCCCGTGGCTTATGTATTAACTCAAGAAACTGACGAACATTTACTTTGGAATCCATCAACTGGGCAATGTCATAAGCAGTTTGACCCATTTTGTCCCTTACAAAGTGTAGATTGTTTGTTTGATGATAGAAATGTGAGTATATGGGGGAAATCTTGTTGTGAGTTATCTCCTCAGGAGTCACTCAGGCTATACATTAGAATCACCTGGGAACTTTGAAGAAAATATAGATGTTCAATCAGAATCCCTGGGGTATGTAGCCTGGGCAATTTTTTATCCCTAAAGCTCCCCCAGGTGAGTCTGTAGTGCCTCCAAGGTTGAGAACCAATGAGGTAATCTAGTGATCAGAAAACCCTGGAATCTCTGTCTCCTGCCTCAGAACCTCCCTTGGCTTCTGCCACTTCACTGGGCAATAAGACTGTAAATTTTTGCTTCATCCTTACCAACTATGGGCCTTTTGTTCCATGGACCTACAATGATTCTATGTTAATGTTTAATAGGTCTGGTTTAATATTCAACAGAATAATATACCAATGGCTGTACACTTTGACTATTCAAAGGAAAGTTTCTGGAAACAGTTACTTCCAAATAATTTTCAAGAGACAAAAGCACAAAGCATACAGGTAAATCATATTTTTCCAGATGTGTCTGTATGAGAGTTACCATTGCTTCTGATCTTTACTAGTTATGACAGCTCTTGCCATGGCTTATTGAATTATTTGGTGATGTTAATCAAAAACTAGTTTTCTCTGCCATCCAGCCTATGTTTGGGCTACTTTGGCCCCTTTACTCTACCTGAAGGAAAAAGAAATTGAGAAGAAAGTGCCATCTCAAATGTGAATTTTGATGTTAAAATAGAATTTAAACATTTTTAATCATAAAACATAGCCTATAATGTTCAAGATGTTTAGTAAGTTATTACTTTGACCTAGCCCTCCTGCTCCACATCTATGGTGATGATCAGGTATGAAAATTGACAAACAACAGGCTTATCTGGGTTCCAAACCATGATAATTATCTCATGGAATGGAAACAGGAGAGAAACATTGGCAGTGAGTGGGGCTGAAGCAGGGATAGCAGCAAGGTCTGAAAATGCTTCATGAAAGACAAGGAACCAGAGAAAGCATCACTTTTTGAAGTCAGGACTATGATGGAGCCCCCCCTCCACTTCTACTTTTGAAAGAATTTGGGAAGAAAACCTATAGACTCACTGCTTGGAGTGCAGAAGGCAGGAGACAGTACTAACTCAGTCACTAGATGGCTTGGCCAGTGGACCTGCAATGTACTCAGTATCGCTTTGGGAAGGCACTCGAAATACCATATCAGCAGCAGTTTCTGAATAGAGGCCATGGAATGGGAGGGTGCAGGCAATTGCAAAGTCTACAAACTAGGAGCTGTGAGCCCAGAGGGGGAGAGAGAGAGAGAGAAAGGATGAGAAAAATAGAGAGAAAAAATAGAAAAATGGGCAAAAGACATCACAGAAGCATAAACTCAAATGTTCAACTGCACTCATAATCAGAGAAATGCAATTTAAACTACTAATAGTTTGTTAATAAACTATTGGTTTTATGAAGTTAATAGTTTAATGTGAAATCAAACTAATTCACATGCATAAAACTGGCAAAAAAATGTGTGATCATACATTTGCCAAGTATTGGCAAAGAGGCAGAGAAATGGTGGGGGCATAAATTGCTATAAACACTTGGAAAAGCAATACAATGATATCCGGTAAAGGTGAAGATGCTCAGCCTTTGATCCACAACTTCAAACTTCTAAGTATATACCCTACCCTAGAAGAACATTCACAGGGAGACAAGTACAAAATATTCATTATAGAATTGCTTGAAATAGTGAAAATTTGAAACAATTCATCAGCTGGAAAATTGGTACATGAGTTGTGAAGTACTCATAAAATGAAATCTTCCTTATGGCAGTAAAATATGAACCAACTGAACCAATTTATAATAGTTCTCAATTTGACTGTACATGCATTGTATCAGAATCTCTGAGAGTGGTACCTACATATCAGTAGTTTTTAGAGTAGTATGTTGGGTGGATCTCTATATTATTCTCTGTGCTTGTCTGTATATTCAAGGCAATTCATGCCATCAAAAAGAATGCATAGTGGCTGTGAGAGAAGAAACCAAAGAATACCCAAGTGTGTAATGTGAAGCATTTTCCCTTCAACATTGTTTTCCCACACTGGAAGAAATAATTACTGTCAGTGTTTTTGGGGCGTCCTTCTAACAGTCTCCATGCAGATGCAAGCATATATATGTATTTTGATATTTCCCATTTGAAAAGGTATTTTAAAGAAGAGGAAATGTGCTTATCTCTCTTAAACAGACATCTACAGCCTCTATAACTCATGCCTTGCTTTCCCATCCTAAAGCTGTGACCGAAGCATTGCTTCCTCCTAGGGGGTTAAAGACCTATTTGGAAATGAGGGTTTCATTTATTTAATATTGATCATTCTCTTATTCATTCAAGTGATGTTTATTGATTTCATCTGTGAGCCAGTGCTATGTTAGGTGTATATACTACAAAGAAAAAGACATGTCTTGGTGTTCTTGGAACTTGGGTTCTGGAGGAGGAAACAAAGGAAACAAATAAGTGCAGTACAGAGTGATAAATGCTGTTACAAAAGAAATGAATGTACTTTGGGAGCATGGCCACCAGACGACCTGAAGGAGGAGAAATCGTAGGGGCTTCCTGGGGAAAAGTGATGACAAGCTGAGTGAGGAAGGGAGAGCAGAAGCTGGCCTAGATGGAAGCCAGGAAATAGAATAGTCCCTTGCAGAGAGTGGCAGCAAGCAGGAAGACCCTTAGAGGCTTCCCCAGTGCATGGGAAGGAGTATGGATTTACAAAAGAAGATGTCTTTCATGGGTAAGACAGACTTGCTGTCCCCATTCATTTATTCAAAGAAGCATTTGACATGCTCATTGATTCTACAAATAATCTTTGGCAGCTATACTGGTCTTTTCCACTCTAACCTTGGCAAAGTTACTTAACCTCTCTGTTCTGAGTCTCAGTTACCTCATCTTTAAAATATGGACAACAGTATGCTTACTGCTCTAGGGTCTTTAAAGCTTTTAAAATAAAGTAATGCATGTAAATCTTGGCACATATGCAATGCTCAATAAACATCGGACATCATTATTACTCTTCTAACACAGTTCGTCTTCTTCCTTCTTTGGCTATTTGTTTCTTCCAGCTGCCAGGATCCAGTTCTTTGTGTTTGCATGTGTCTAAGGAAATCCTGGGGTCTACACTTTACCCATGGGATGAAGTGTTTCTACCATGATAGCCTGGTTTGGGTTCCTCCTCATTTTAGCTAGCACTCCAGGGTGACTATGATGTAAAAATGGTCCCTATAGCCTCTTTCCTAACATTTGGTTATCTATATTTTAGCCTGAAGAAATAACTTATACCGATACTAATAAAAGCATGGTAGAAGATCTAAAGAACAGGTACTGTGTTTTCTCTCTAATCTCTTGTTCAGTCACCTTCTGGTCCCCTGATCCAGCCTTTCAAAATACCTGCTACATTCAGCAACACAAAATGAAAGGGAGATTGTAACAGTTCCATGGAACCGCCTGTCTCTTGGTACATACATTGAAAAGTGACCCCTCAGCCATCCAGGGCTTTCCTCGAAAGGACAGTCTAAGTTAACTCTGGGAAACACTGTGGATCACTGTTGGAAAGTTCTCAACACAGATGTCTGTTGAGCCTGTAGTAATAATAATGCAATAGCTAACACTTTTATTTTATTTTATTATTTTATTTTATTTTTTGAGGCACTCTGTTGCTTTGGCTAGAGTGCCGTGGCATCAGCCTAGCTCACAGTTTGAGCCTAGCTCAAACTTGAGCTCCTGGGCTCGAGCAATCCTCCTGCCTCAGCCTCCCAAGTAGGTGGGACTACAGACATGTGACACCACGGCAGGCTAATTTTTTCTATTTTTAGTAGAGATGGGGTCTCGCTCTTGCTCAGGCTGGTCTCGAACTCCTGACCTCAAGCGATCCTCCCACCTTGGTCTCCCAAAGTGCTAGGATTACAGGTGTGAGCCACCATGCCCAGCCTAGCTAACACTTTTGAAAGGACATGAAGGTTAATGGCCCATGACTTGGGGGTGGTAAATGCATCTCTGTTGGATGGCAGAAACAATAGTGCTGCCACTCCTGCCCACTCAGTGAGCACTCCCCACTTCCCCAAACACATACACATGAATGCCTTAAGGAGTTGGTCAGTCAAGCCCAAAGGGTCACAGACTTGGGAGCAGGTCTCACTCCTACTCCAGATATGTCAGAGGCTTTAGATCTAACTGCCTACAGTGACTCACACTCACACAGCAGGCTGGCATGTAAGTCACCACCAACCAATCAGAACAGACCATAACAAAAATAGTTTTGCCACTTTCATTTCTCACTAGTACATAACCCCCTCCCCCACACCCTGTTATTCCCATTCCTTATATCCAAGTTCTTAGCAAAAAAGAAAGAAATGCAGCATGTAAATGGTTCTCAACGTCTGGTTTTCATTAGAATCACTTCTAGAACTATTTAAAAATACAAGTGCCAGGATCCCAGACCAGAGACAAGGCCTGTTGAATCAATATCTGGAGGTTAAGCATTTTGATAAAGCCCTACAGGGGATTCTGATGCATGGCCACTGTTGGGACCTTCTGCAAGCTCCAACTGCTTAGTTGCACTATAAAGCCAACCAAGAAGAAATTCCCATCAGTTTCTTCTGTAACACACACTGCAGTTAGAGAATCAATTGCACACAATCATCATGCACAGAGAGGCTTTTCAGGAAGACCTCATCAATCAACCCACACTTTGTCCCCATACTCTCTCCTCCCTAGCACATTCATCACCAGGCACTATTCTAGGGGCTAAGTATACAGGTAAAAATCCCTGCCCTTATGGAGCTTACATTCGAGTGGGGGAAACTGATGGCCATACCTTTCATACTTCTCAGTCTAATGCCTCAATTCCTCCTAACTCTGCTTGCTAAATTAACTGATCAAACAATCCCATCTCTGCTAACATCATCCCAGACCAGATATATGAATTTTCATAAAGGTGGTTTCTTAGAAATACTATGTCCTGTGTCAAAGGAGGGTCTTGGAGTAGGAATATCAGCCCAGTAATCAGATGGTAGGTGTCGTCAAATCACACCCAGTAGGCAGCTTCCTATACACAGGTAACTGGAAAAGAGAGGTGACTTGGAGAGCTAATTTCTGGCTACTCCAGGAAGTTTCTTGCCTTCCCAAGCTGAGCAAGAGCCTGCTTCTCTCCAAATTGATTAATAAATAGATAACCCCTAGCTAAATAACCCTAGATAACCCCTAGCTGTAGGGTCTGGTTTCCTCCTAAGACCAAAAAGTATTATTCTCATACCTGAATAAAGTGACAAAACTATTATCATATTTACTAGATGAGTTTTAATTTGTCATAAAATTATCTTTGCAATCTTATCTTAGGATTGAAAGGACTCTAAAGTGTAAAATGATGGAATGGCGACCTCAACACCCAACACGTTGGAATCGACAATGTTCTTCTATTCTGCGACAAATCCTTCCTAAACTAGAAGTTGGCATAGGAAGCTTTGCTTCATATGAAAAAGAGAGTGAATTTGAAAGACTACTACAACTTTATTGGGTTTGTATATAATTTAATGCATTAATGGCATTGTTTTATCCATGTTAATTGCTAAATAATAGCAATCTTAAATATCTCTGAAATGCCTTTTGTCTTGATCCTGGAAGATCAATGCTATGGCATTAAAATGCATTTATTTATAGATCAAGAATAATTGTTCAAATGTAGTGAACAGTTATTACCAGGACCACATTGTATGGCATTTTCTTGAAATCAGTCACATGTTTTATGATGTATGAGCTATAGACCTTGGAAAGAGATGCCCAGAAGGAAACCACCCTGTAACTAAGAAGGTAAAAGATGATCTCTAGTAATAGATTGGATTCCTTGTCATTGGTTCTGGGCAAGAGGACCACAGACAAGCTTCAGTATCTTCTATACACAAATTACAGTCACCCTGGACCAGTGGTTGCTGGACCTCCATGGATACCAAAATTTATGGATACTCAAGTCATTCATACATTAATAAAATGGCATAGTATTTGCATATAACCTATGTATATCCTTCTGTATACTTTAAATCATCTCTTGATTACTTATAATACCTAATACAATGTAAATGCTATGTAAATAATTGTTATACTGTTTTTATTCATGATATTTTTTATTGTCATATTGTTATTTTTTATTTTTTCAAATATTTTTGATCCTTGGTTGGTTGAATCAGTAGATGGGATGTAGAATGTTCCAATATTGAGGGCTAGCTATACTCCCAAATGTATACATTAAGCCTGGACCTCTCTCCTGACCTCCTCTCTTATTTATTCACCTGCCCATTGACATCTTCTTGGATGGCAGAAAGGCATCTCGAACTAAACAAGTCCATAAGCAAATATGGTGGGCATCTGATATATTGTTAGGATTCTCCTTTCCTTTTCCTACCCTACCCTCAGCTCTGAGTATCGTTTCCCCTCCCCTCCGCTATGAACTGGTCCAGTGGGTTTTTGAAAACCCCAACCTCCCGAGGGTAAGACTCCTCATTCCCCTTATCATCAATAATACACTGGAAGATGTCTTCTAGGGGAAGTCTCTGAGAGGAGGAAGTAAGGAATCTGTTTGGAGTTGAGTACCTAGGCCGCCAGGAAGGGATCTGCCAGCATTATCCATTCATGAGTAGGGAGGGAGTTGTTTTTGTTTTGCTTTATTTTCAATAGAATTAGGGGGCAAGCAGATAAGCAAGGCATAGTTAAATATAAGCCAAAGTTTAAAACCTGGTGTTCTGGTATAAAATTATCTGACTATTTAATAATACAGTCAACAATAATAAACCTAGACTGAACCCTGCAGCCTGTGTTCAAATCCTGACTTAACCACTCACTAGTTTTGATTTAGAGTAAGTTACCTAACCTGTCTACACTTTCTATTCCATTGGATAACAGGGATAAAAATAGTTATCTGTTTTGTCATTTTGTTGAGGATTGTGTCAGTTACTACTTACTGTAGCACCCAACACCTAGTAAATGCTTAGTAGATGCTATTTATTTGTTTTTATTCTATGTGTCAGGCATTGTGCTAGGCACTGAAGTTATGGCAGTAAACAAGGCAGATATGATCTTGTGCATCCACAGAGATGACAGACATACTTAGACTAGGAAACAGATAATTGCAATATATTTTGTTAAGTAAGCTCAAGGAAGTACAGTGCACTGCACAACCACATGGGGAGAACACGTGAACAGACGTTAGGATTAGGAAAATACTCCTGTATAAGGTTGAAAGAGGCTATGATTGTCTCTGTGTATTATTAAATAGATAATTTTGCAAAGGACCATGTTTCATGATCTGTTACTCTTGTTACATAAGTAGTCATTTAGTAAATATAAACTGAATCAATGTTGAATAAAGTCTTCAAAAATTCTCACTTAAATCTCTTAAATGTAGGACCAACTGATTTCCTTGTTGGCAGTTTGCTGTCTAGAAAGGGTGCAAGTATGTGGAATGTGAAATGTGCAGGCTAAGCTCTTGCATCAGACAGACCTGCTTGTGTTCCTCTCTACCTGTAAAGTGGGGATTATAAATAGTACCTACCTCATAGGGTTGTTTGAGGATTAAATATATATGTGAAACATTTAGTTATACCTAGAACATAATCAGCACCTACAGAAAACTATTATTATATTATGACTATCATTTCTTTGAGGCATCTGTGATCTTTTTATGTACAACAATTCCTGATTACCTGATTGTAATGTGGGTTTATGTGTTGTTCTGTCTTTGATCCAGGTTGTAGGATTTCCCATCCAGATGCCATACACTGATCTACAGTCAGTTATTGATGCCGTGTATCAAACTGGAATTCACTCTTCTGAATTTCCCCAGACAGAATTTGCATTAGCTGTGTACATTCACTCATACCCAAGTAACATATTGTCTGTGTGGGTTTATTTGGCTTCCTTAGCCCGATATAAATGAAAAGGAAGAAGAGAGAAGGAAAAGATTTTGGTGTCCTTGTGGGGTCTGGAAGAAAGGGAAATAAGAAGGAAAAAAATATTAAAAAAGAAATAAAAAGAAAAAATAATAAAAATGTTTTAAAAAGGAAAAGATTGTTCTATAAATCCCTAGACCAGGAGCAAACCAAACTTTCTGGTACCTTGGGATTTTGCTGCTTATTCTAAATCCTAGCCAAGTGTTGAACCCAATTTTTGATTCATTTATCAAGTTGGGCAGTATGGAAATTTAATCCCCTGAGTCTTTGAGGATGAGTCTAGATGACCTCCTCACCAGAAACCTCTTCAAGGAGGACCCTTTGGGAAGTCTGGCTGTCTTGGGTCACTGTCTACAGTGAAGCTTATTCTGGGAAAGAAGCAATTCTTGCCTTTCCCCCTAAGGCCAATGTTTCTCAAATTGTGGGCCTCATACCACCTCCATCAGAATCATCTGGAGAGCCTTGTTGAAAATGTAGATTCCCATATCCTACCCAAGACCTATTAAACCAGAACCTCTGGGAGCAGAGCTCCAGAACCTGCATTATTTTCAACAAGCACCCCCAGATAATTCTGATGCACTTTTAACAGGAAGAACCTAGACTTGTGAAATGTTGTCATTACAAAAGTAAGGCTGGTACATTTGATGCTGGCTCTGATATAATTTCAGGTAGATGTTACTCAAATGGAAACCTAAGGTCATTGCCTCTCATATATAAAAGGTTATTTCATTGAGAAAGAAAAAAAGGAAAATCTACCATGTTGGGCTGATACATCAGCTTCTGGAGGCTCTCAAAAGTTTACACCTGATGAAAGTTTGCTACTGATGTGAAATCTTTATACCTCCAAGTATTTGGAAGGGACTCCCAGGGAGCTCTAATCTTATCTAATCTCTCCCAATTCTGTGAGGGAGGAAATGGTCTTGACAAATCTCAGGACTCCTTTTTTCCTTAGCGAACAGCCTCTCCCTCTGCCCCTGGCACTTTTTGCTTTTTTTTTTCTTAGTGGTGGTTCAGCTAGATCCTAGGAGCTCCTTAAGAAAAAGTGGACAAGGATCTAATTAGGAAGCACTATACTTTCTTCTCGTTGATTATTTTGTCTTTACTGAGAAAAATATTTATACAATTTACTTAAATGTGACATAACTTATTATTTAAAAGAAATAATCAAGGGATACAGATTTCCAAAGGTTGACCAGAGCAGTTTTATATGACGTAAAGATAAGAGAAAGATAATTCATCTCTCCCATGACAGAAGCATTAGGGTTCCTTGGTTCACACTCACAAGCAGAGACAAGAGACCTCCAAATTCATATCCAGGGAACCCCCAATCTGCATCCCTTACCCAAATGTGCCTGTGCCAGAGAAGACCTCATTTACTTGCAGTGATGTTTAGACCAAGCTTGAGATTACTAGAGAAAGCAAAGTGAGTGAAGGAATGATTTTTCCTCCCAGGTTAAAACCTAATTGTGCATGTCTTGCATGCACTAGAAAACTAATACGAATTTTTATTTGAATATTTGTGTTTAAATGTTACATGAAATTTTGTTATTAAACAAGTCAAAATAATGCTGATGGAAAGATGAAGTTTCCAAAGAAATACTGAATTCATGTAGTTCACTTCTGTGGAGCTTTGGATGTTTATATAGCTATTTTATTAGTTGTTTGTGGTTTTAGAATTGATAGGCCACTTAACAGTAAGGTAGCAAGTGTTCACAGGCAAGCACAGAGGACCTTTCCATATTGTATGCATTGTTTTTCCCTGAAAATTGTGAAATTATATGTAATGAATCATTTTTAATTTAAACATTAAAAATACATTATTTTAAATGGAATGCATAATTTTAAAGTTTTTTAAGTCATTCCACAAATAATTAGGGAGCATCCATTATGTGCCAGACACTTGAGTATGTTCTGGGGTACAGCAGCGAAAAGACAAAGACCCTACCTACAGGTGTGAAGCTTACATTCTTAACAGGGCAAAGAAACCATAGCATATAAACAGTAATTTTCTCTTAAGTGGGAAAATTTCAAGACGTGTTTTGAGTCTTGAAACAACTATAAAGGAAACAAATAGGATGGGATGGTAAAGAAGATATTTGGTGGGGATGAAGGTTGTAAGCAGAGTAGTCAGGGAAGGCTTCTCTAAGGAGATAACATTTAAGCTGAGATGTAATGATTTATCAATTAGAAATGCATTCAGTTGCATGTAGTAGAGACCTAACCACAGTAGCATAACCAAATAGGGATTACTTTTTTACATCACTGTAGGTTCAGAGGAGGCATTCCAAGTCTGGTGTAGTGGCTCCATGATGTTGTAGGTATATTAGCTTCATCCAATTTCTTGGCCATATCTGAGGTGGCTTCCATCTTCTACTTCAGTGGCTTTCGATTTCAACAAGTATAAGAATCACCTGAAGGGCTTGTTGAAACAGATGCTCGCCCCACCCCTAGAGTTTCTGATTCTGTGGGTCTAGGGTGGGCCCTGATAATTTGCACTTACAAATTTCCAGGTGATGTTGAGACTGCCGATCTTTGAGAAACTTGGCTGTAGTTTCACAAGCATTTTATGCCCAGAAAATACAGAAAAGGAGTGGGATGGTAGAGTATGCCAGCTGGTTTTGCTGTTTTAAAAATGCTTCCCAGGAGACCATTCCCAGTTTCGTCTACTTATATCCCACTGGCCAGAACTGTATCACTCCTATGGCTACAAGGGAGGCTGGGTGATCAAGTGTTTTACATGGATATATTGCTCCCCCAACTAAAATCAGCATTCTGTTGGTGAGGAAGAAGAGGAAGGTGACTGTTGGGTGGGCAACTCATAGTCTACCACAGGTGAAAGGAAGCCCCATAATGCAAAGACCTCTGATAAAAGTATTCAAGAGGAAACTTTGATTGCATAGGTCTTCAGTCCAAAAAGAGACTTGCCTGGCTCTTTTTGGACTATAGGGGAATGTAGTAGCATATAAGGCTGGAGAGGTACATCAGGACCAGACAATGTGGGTCATAGTAAAGAGTTTAGATTTTATTTATAATGCAGTAGGAAATCATTGAAAGGTTTTAAGCTACTGAAAAAATAATATTTTTCCTTTTTTATATTTGAGATTACTTTAAAAACTTTTTACAGTTACTCGTTTTCTTTTTCATTTTCTTAAAATTCATTTTATTACTCATTATTTTGTATAAGTGCATAAATGTGACCATGTTTTTAAGTGCAGGTTTTATTTTTCTTTACCTTTTTTGCTTGAGTCCCTATCCCACTGTTCTTCCCTCCTCCACTCACATTATTTACTTCTCCCACCTCCTTGCCAACTAAGTATGTATCCTTTCACTTAACCAACATTTTCAAATATTCATATGCCAACACACACACACACATGCATATACATGCATCTGTTTCTGTTTATCTTAGAAAAATGAGATCACATTATGTATGTTTTTCTGCATATTGCTTTTCTCCTTCAAAAATAGTGAAACCACTCTGAGTGAACTATTCATTCTTTCTAAGGAATGCATAACAGTCTATAATGTGGGCAGAACCATTAAATACACTTAAGCAGGTTATGTACCACACAACTCAAAGTTTATGTGTAAGGATCTCTGGAGTTGTATGTTGCAGCCCTCCCTGGTTGTGCATGCTATTTATTATAACTTATTCAGCCATTCCCCTACTGATAGGAATTTCTTTTGATTCAGTTGCTTGGTGCATTGTTTAATTTTTCTATATCCCTGCTGTTTTTCTGTCTACTAGTTCTATCAATTACTGAGAGAGGTGTGTTGAAGTTGCCAACTGTAATTATGAGTTTACTTATTTATTCTTTCACCTTTGTTAGTTTTTGCTTCATGTATTTTGAAGCTCTGCTGTTAGATGCACATACACTTAGGATTTATGTGTTCTTGGTGAATTAACCCTTTTATCATTATACAGTGTTCCTCTTTATCCCTAGTAATTATCTTTGCTCTGAAGTCTGTTTTGCCTGATGTTAATGTAGCCATCCAGCTTTCTTTTGATTAGGGTTTACCTGGTATATATATTTTCATCTTTTTATTTTTAATGTACCTATATAATTATATTTGAAATGAATTTCTTGTAGATAGCATATAATTGGGTTATGGTATTTTTAATACCATCTGACAATCTCTTTTTTAATGGGGATATTTAGATCATTTACACATAATGTAATTATTGTTATGTTTGGACTTAGGTCTACTATTTTATTATTTGTACTCTATTTGTTCTGTTTTTGTTTCATTGTTTCCTCTTTCCTGCTTTCTTAGGTTATTTAAACATTTCTTAGTATTTCATTTTAGTACATCTATTATATTTTTGACTATATGTTTTGTAATATTTTTAGAAGTTTCTCTAGGGATTATGCTAATACATATTTAACTTTTCACAATCTATATAGAATCTACTTTTTACCACTTCCAGTAGAATGTAGAAATCTTACCACATTACATTATCCTTCTGTCTTTATGGTGTAGATGTCTCATATATTGTACCTGTTGAAATATACATTGAAAACACTAGAAGACAATGATAACATTTGTGCTTTCAACCATCAAATATACTTTAAAGAACTCAAGTTAAGAAGAGTATTTAATGCAGACATTTATCATTCTGTTCTTCATTCCTGATATGCCAAGTTTCCTTCTGGTATCATTTCCTTTCTGTTTAAAAAATGTCCTTTTGCAATTCTTTTAGAGCAGGTTTACTGACAACAAATTCTTTTGTTTTCCTTCATCTGTCAATGTCTTTATTTCAACTTCATTTCTGAAGGATATTTTTGAAGGATATAGAATTCTGGGTTGACAGTTCTTTTCTCTCAGCACTTTAAAAATCTCATTCTAGTTTTCTCTGGTTTCTTACTTTCTGGTGAGAAATCCACCATCCATTGAATCTTTCATTATTCACCTATAAATAATGCCTTGTTTCTCTCTGATTGTTTTCAAGAATTCTTGTTTTTTAGCCATTATTTTCCCTAATAGTTTTCTGCACATATTCTTTCTCCTTTCCTGCAGGGACTCCAATGACATAAATATTAGACCATTGAGTATTATTTCACAGGTCTCCAAGTCTCTATTCATTTGTTTCTGTTTTTGTTTTGTTTTGAGATGAAGTCTTATTTCTTGCCCAGGCTGGTCTCAAACTCTTGGGCTCAAGCAAGCTCTTGTCTTAGCCTCCCAAGTAGCTGGGATTTCAGGTGTGTGCCCCACAATGCCTGGCAGTTTCCACCTTTTTTTTCAGATTGTATTATTTCTATTGCTTTATCTTTAAGTTTACTATTCTAATGATCCCATTCAATGAATTTTTTTTAATTTTGGGGTTTTTTTTGTATATTTTTAGTTGTAAAATTTCTATCTAGTTCTTTATATAGTCTCTTTCTTTTTTTTTTTTTTTTTGAGACAGAGTCTCACTTTATTGCCCAGGCTAGAGTGAGTGCCGTGGCGTCAGTCTAGCTCACAGCAACCTCAAACTCCTGGCTCAAGCAATCCTCCTGCCTCAGCCTCCCAAGTAGCTGGGACTACAGGCATTCGCCACCATGCCCGGCTAATTTTTGTATATATATATTAGTTGGCCAATTAATTTCTTTCTATTTATAGTAGAGACGGGGTCTCGCTCTTGCTCAGGCTGGTTTCGAACTCCTGACCTCGAGCAATCCGCCTGCCTCGGCCTCCCAGAGAGCTAGGATTACAGGCGTGAGCCACCGCGCCCGGCCTATATAGTCTCTTTCTTTGCTGAAACTTTCTATCTTTCCAGTCATTTCAGGAAATTTTGCTCTTCTTGGAGCATTCCTATAATAGCTGTTCTAAAATCTTGTCAGATAATTCTCTGTCGTAGTGTTGGTGTCTGTCGATTGTCTTTCCCACAGGAATTGAGATTTGCCCTTGTTCTTCTTATGCTGAGTAACTTTGGATTGTATCTGAGGCAATTTGAATATATTGTATGTTAAGAGATCTGTGTCTTATTTAAATCTTATAGAAAATGTTGACATTTTTGACAATCTTATGGAATCAACCTGGTTGGGTTCAGGTTGCAAGTTCTGGCTAGCCTTCTGTGGATTGTAGTTTCAATATCAGTTCCATTTTCAAAACCTTTTAGTGTTACTCAGATCTGTCACATGTGTGTACTGCTTAGTGGCCAGCCTGAGATTTGGGTAGTTCTCAAAGTTTTTGGTCTTTCCAGAGTGGATCTATGCATGCACATTTTAGAGGTAAGCCCAGTTGTTTATAACAACTTCATGGGATCATTTTCCAAAGTTCCTCCCACCTCTCTATAGTCTCGCCAGTACTTTTCAATCCGTGGGGCTCCCTTTTTTGGTTCTACATACATAAAGCTTGCACTTTCCACTATTGTACCTCCATCCAGATTGAAGCAGTGGGAGAACAAAGAAAAAAAAGCAACCAAAGCTTCTCCAGATAGGAAGATCCCCTCCCTTTGGTTTTAGGCACCTGTGTAGGCCCCTATCCCGACTCTTGTGGCTACCACCAATCTGCTGTTGATTGCCTGGGAGCTATAGCAGGAGAGAAAGGAAAAAAGAAAGAGAGACAGGCAGACCCAAGTTACCATGCTCTGTAATCCCAGCTACTTGAGAGGCTGAGGTGGGAGGATCACTTGAGGCCAGGAGTCTGAGACCAGCCTAGACAACATAGTAAGACTCCCTCACATTAGGAGACTCCTTTCCTGTTCCTTATGACAAAAGGGATTCTCTGAGGGCTCGCTCTGTGCCCTGGTGCCCACTGCTAGCTTTTAGGCTGCCTGAGTCCAGGCTGGTGGATGCTAGTGGAAGAATGGGTAACTCACCAC